TGGGACAGACTGACTGGTACAAAGCACAACACAACCAATATCTATATTCTGAGTTACATAATATATTTTGAACTTAGTATTTTTATAGGCTTCCTGAGTGTCTGAATGAGTGGGTCTCTGATTCTTGTCCCTGCTCTTGGAGCTCTTTTCCTTCTGTTGGGTTGCTTTGCGTAGCCTCAATGGCATGGTATTTTTATAGGCTTCCTGAGTATCTGAATGAGTGGGTCTCTGATTCTTGTGTATGTGAATGTGCATGACATTATTCATAACAGTGAGCACACGGGGATAACTCAAATGTCTATGAGAAAATAGGTAAGCAAATGTATATATATTCAAGACAGGAGCTAGTCACTTAAACTTGTGAATGACTCTTGAAGACCTAGGCCAAACGAAAGCTGCCACCACAAACACCACAGGTTCTCATTTAATGTACACAAAATACTCAAACAGGCACATGAAACAGGAAGTTGAATAATGATTACCTAGAGCTGAGTGGGATGGGAGTGTAGTATGATAGATGGAAAAATGGCAAAGTAGATGCTATTGAGTATGAAATCCTTTCAGACCGCTGTAGGATTTTGTCTAGGGTCATCGGGTTAATTTATTTTTGTACCATTTAAAGTCCTGAGTCCAATAGTGAGTTTCCCAGCCTCAAGACTAAAGTCTATTTATGCATGATACCTTCCTTCCAACTAGCCACATCTATTACCTCTACCACCCACTCTAAACATATTTCCCCCTTTGCTTTCCTCTCCTGCTAAATGCCTGCTACTACTGAATTTTCAACAGGTATTGAATTTCCATCCTCAACACAAGCCAAATGTAAATGGCTATCATTGCTTCTTCATTAACAAATATTTAAGGAATATCCACCATGCATGACATACCATGTTACTGTGGGACACAAGCAAAAACACTCTGCCCTCATGGAGCTTACAGTCTAGTATTGTGGTGAACCAATACATAAAGTCATTACCATTAGCAGGATATGAACTGGATGGTATGACAGAAGATACTAAGGGAACACTTACTTATGATCAGGAAATTGGAGTGTAGTTCAGTGTTGGAGCAAATGCTCAGAGGCCGTGGGTTCCAAGATTCTGCACCAAAATTGTTAAGAAGGAATTAAAAAAAAAATCCAACAAGAATGATCTAGCAAAGCCCCTGAACAGATGGCTAAGAACTGACTCACTTCTTAGTTACATGATCTTGGACAAGTCATTTTTGACCATTTCCCTGTTTGTAATATACGGATAACGGTGTAAGTTTTACAACAAACTGAAGAACTGTCTCCCATAGGCTGATCTATTTGAAAGCTTGGTCCTTTGCTGTTGATGCTGGTGGGGAAAGTTACAGAAACCTTGAGGCGGTAGAACATTGCTGGAGGAAGTACAACATTCATTTCCAGCTTTGAGGTTTCATAGCCTGGCCCCACTTCCTCTTCTTTCTACTTCCTGTGCTCAAATGAAATGGGACCATTCAACTTCTTGATGTCCTATGATGAACTGTCTCTCTTCTGGAACTTGTAAGCAAAACAAATCTTTCTTATTTTCTGTTGGGGTGCTTCAACAAAATAACAGAAAGTTAACTAATACACTATCCATCAGGAAGCTATTCCATAAGGCCATTCAAGTTCTCCCTCTTGCAGGCAATGTATCTAAAATAGCAACCCAGCAGCAACTACCTCTTGAGTAAGCAGAATTGTATGAATGCACCAGTGAGTAAGCTGTGGAGTAACAGGCCCTAGGTGGTATTGTTCTGTACCAGGGTGATTCCCAAAACAGATGGCCCGTTAAGGAAGAAATGGGCAACTGTGAGTAGTATATACACACTACAGAGAAAAGACAAAAATGGGTGACAAAGCAATCTGAATTTAACAGCAGAAAAACGGAAGGGCCTGACAGTTCTTCCTAAGTATCTCACGCCTAAACTGTCTCCCCTAAATGACATGCAACTGTGCCTGTCAACAGTAGCAGGACTCTCCCAGAGCTGAGAGTAGGACAGAAGCCTGCATATACTCCTTCAATTTCTGTGGTCTTCATCTGAAACCAGTCTTTAAATTAGTGTCAGCTTAACTGAGACCAAAGATATTTTATCTTTCAGTTGGTTTAGGTCAGACTCTAGCTTTCTAAGTCAGGGTCAGCACTTACCCTGTCAGGAAGCATACTGAAATCTGTTTCATTTGTTAATGAATGGGATACTAGTTTAAGTTCGTAGCACAATTACTAAGAATCCTTGACCTTTCAGAACTGGATTATAAACCTTCCAAACCTAGAACTAGTCTCAGTACTTTATGGCAAGTACACTTTATGGTGACCAAAATAAAAGTACTCACACAGTGGCAAAACTGACTGCTGTAGGCTGTCCTCTGACCTCGACACGCCTGTTGTGGCACCTGTGCACACACATACACACACTGAAAGAATACATTAGAAAAGGCGGCAAAGTGAAAGGCAGTGGTTGTCTTAGCTTTACCACCTTTACAGTTTATGTTGGACTGCATTTGTCTCAGGAAATCCTACTGGCATTAGGAGATCTGAAAGGGGAATGGACCTTACAAGAGGTGCTCACCATTTAAGGGCTGTCCTTAGGCACAAAATAAAAATCAAAACTTAGTCTGACATTCAGATTATCTTCACAGTGCTAAGTAAAGTCATGTGAAAAGTCAGTTGAGTATCCACATACAGTATCTTCAGGAACATGCCAGACAAGTATAGTCAGCTCTCCATCTCCATCCATCCTGTGTCCAAGGATCCAATCAACTGCAGAGTTCTACTGCCAGAGGAAGAGCTGAAACAGCACTTTGAGAACAGACTCCTTGTATTCCCTACATAGCCTTTATATTAGGCATTATATTCAATCTGATTTAACATATATGAATACTATGTCAGTTTTATGCAAATACTATGCCATTTTATGAAACTCTGGCATTGTGAATTTTTGTATTGGAGGAGGATTCTGAAACAAATCTCCTACACACAAAACAACTCTCCATATTTAAAATTGAGAGACTGGAGCTGAAAAGATGGCTCAGAGATTAAGAGCAATACTGCTTTACAAGAGGACCTGAGTTCAGTTCTAGCATCTGTATCAGGTGGCTCACAAGTGCTTTGTAGCCACCAGTTCCAGAAGATCTAAGGACTTTTCTGGCCTTCACACAAATATACACACAGACACATAAATAGAGTTCAAAGTATTTTTTTTTTTCAATTTCAGGAAGCTTGAGAAATTCCAATCATTGCCTCAAGATCCACTTGACTGGGGTCAGGTGATATTAATGCTGATACCTGCAAAGACAAATGTGTTCTATGGGAAGAGAGGCTATACTATCTGCTGATGTGTGTTATGTACAAAATATAATAGCTGCCTGTAATGTTGGTTCTCTCCTTTGTCTCAATTCTCTGCAAAGAGCAAATACTACTGGCAAACAAGAAAACAAAGCATGACTACAAGACAGGCAATGAAGAACAAAGGGCCAACATGCTGACCTAGCTCTATGTGCTGCTTTTGTAAATTATGATGTAGCTCCTAACAGAAGGAAGACACAAGTCATTTACCAAGAGCACCAATCTCAAAGAACAGCAGAGAGCTCCTTCAAACCTTTCTAATATGTTGCACCACAGTACATGAAATACAGGAAAGATGCTGAGTCAGGCTCAATGATTCATCACCTGCTAAACGGCAACTTCAAACTGCCACACTACCTGGACCCAGAGCTACTAAAAATCAATGTCAGACTCGAGTTAAATGAGGACTAATTTTTATTTTTAAAGGTGAAAAAAGATGGGAAATAAGTTATGACTTTTCGTAGAAGTAGAGAGATAAACTTGCAGGAAAACAATGTTTACTAAAATAATACTTTTTTTCTTTTAAATAACCAAGCAAAGGAACTGAAAAAAAAAAACCATAGCTGATAATAAGAAAAATAGTTTATGAAAATCGACTTTACTTAGAAACACAAATGCAACTAAATGAGTGTCTTTATTGGCAGCAGACAAAGGTGAGTGTTCAAGACTGACTCAAGGCATATTAAAGTCAAAACAGGCTCTTTCAACCCCATTCAACATGACTTTGCTTAAAATTCTGCATCTTCCCTTCAAATTCATTAAGACTACTCTAATGGAAACTTGTTTAACATTAAAAGTTATGACCAACTGAATCACATTCACTATCTCTGATATCACTACCATGGTTTTATTATAGTATTATAGAACAAATGAAATACAAGGCCATACATTTAAATTTACCTGACCTATTTCATCTGATCTTTAGAATTATCCTAGGACATATACCAAATATTTTTAATTTGGGGGCCAAAACAAAAATAAAATCTAAAATTGATTCTTCTGGGGGTCAGAAGGCTAGCTAATGAAAACAGTCCTCATGAATATATAGAGAGAGCTCTGTGTAGCAGCTACATTGTCTCAAGTTACCAAAGCCCTTCAATATTTCTAAGTGGGGAAAAAAGATAAAGATGAAAATAGAGATTGGCCAAGTGACCATAAGCATTAAGCACAACTCCCTAGGTAGAGATACCTGAAGATAATGGCCACATGGCTAACACCTTACTAACACCAGGATGACCTCTTTATTCTATCTGGTTAAACAGAAATTTGCATTAACAAGACACTGCTAAGCAGCCAGATCTTCCTAAGAATGTGACATTAAGGAGAGACTGGCTTTACAACCACAGAGCCAGGAGCGGAAAGAAAAGTACATACCTTTAAAGATACCTGCAAAGTAAGTCCCAATATCAATATGAAAAACTTGTAAGTCTATTTTAAAGGTGCTAGTCACCTGAGATAAAGTAAAACTTTTTGTAATTTCATTAAACACCGAAAATGAACACTACAATTGTTCCTGTGAAAACAAATGTAGAGGTATTCATAATAAGAACTAGGCAAATAATTTCTATTACCATCTTCGTTACTAATAAGACTTCACTGATTCATTGTAAGGGAGTCTTTGATACTCTAATGAGTAAACAAAATGATAACAAATCTGCATCATTTCTTTATTAACAAATTATACTACAGAAGCCAGGCTACTATTTCTGATTACAGAGGTAACAGAAACTGCATCTGTACTTACAGTAGCAACATAAAGTCCTACAAGAAGAAATTCTCTATCTGGACTGGCTAAGAAAGTAAAAGCCAGGGGCCATAAGGCCAAAGTACCATTGCCTACTGTGATCACAGGAGCTGTTTTAGCTTTCCTTATCTTTGATGAAACAAAAGTCTTATCAAAGGAAAGAACATAGGGTGCTGGAGGCAAGTAAGAAGCAATATGGAGAACTACACAAGCATTTTGTACAAAAAGTACACAAAGGCCACAAAAACTTGAAAGATAAAACACCAAACAGGGATAAGCCAGCTCTTTAGAACTGTACCAATTCTAAAGTAATAAGTCCCTGTCATGAGTGGAAGCAGAGTCCTTATGCAGGAACTTATTTGAAAAATTAAGAGTAGTCACTAAAAAACCTATGTGTTAAGTTGGACATAGCATAGGTAGAGAAAGTACTACATCTTTGAGAACTGAAAATTAAGAAACCCAAATGACGCGAGTGGAAACCAGGAATGCTGAAAGCTTCTACAGTGAAACCCAGTTTTCTGAGTGACTCAAACACATTGGAGGCACAGTACTTTCCAAAGTTCACCCAGAACAGTCACATGAGAGGTGTGTTTTAAAGGCAGCATTAAGTGGAATTTTGGGCCCCTTTCCTTCACTTCAACTCAAACATCCCTAATTTCTGTGTCTGTGTTTTCACAAAAGACTTCATTTAAGAAAAAAAATAGGAAAATGAGATCTGGTATGACCCTCCATTGACTTTTCTTTAAACTTGAAAAAAATATCACTGCTGAAACTGAAATTACATTTGAGGAATTATGATCAAAGACTTTAAATATAATTTCTATATCTGTGACATTAAAATGTGAAAAGTTTCAACCAACAAAGTATTCTGTATTAGTATATAAAATATATGAAACAAATTAAATTCATAGGAAGAACTTAGTTATTTCCACTTCTAAATATGTTCTGGTTCCTCCCAAGTATTAAATATTTCTGAACATTATAAAGAAAATTCTACCAGCTATTCCAGTCTTAACTTGAGCACATTCCATCCAAACACTGTATACTTTTTCTTTCTAAAAAAAAAAAAGTCTCAAGATTGTAAAAATTCTAGAATAAGAATGTATAGTAACCAAAAAAAACCATATTATATCATAGGATAAAATCTGCCTAGTGTTCTTAAACATAGTAACTATAAAGAGCAACCAAACCCCAGCACTTAACTCTGCATATACCAGCATATAATGTCAAAGTATAAATGACAAGAGAAAAACACAGAACACAAAGACCATTTTCTTTGATGCTATCATGAAGAGGGGTGAACTGAAAGAAGGAAAGTGGAACCAAGTTCTGGCTAGTTACTGAAGCTTCATTACTTCAACAAAATAGAACACAACTCTATAGAAAGTATTCATTCAGCAAACATGATTTCTTCCCTTCATTCTGGATTAAACAGAAGTGGCTGTTATTATAGATCAGTGATTACATTTCCTTTTAATTAGAAAAGTTTAAGTATTTACATAACTTTATTGCTGTTTATTGTAACAAAAAAATTGTTTGTAGAATCCATCCAGTAATGTAGGAACTGAAATCCATTGCTCAAGAAGACACCATCATAGATGAAATAAATCTGATGCTCAGTGTAGGGCATAAGAAAAGTCCTTGCTTGCCATCTGGTTCTTGCAGGAGTCATCTGTGTTCATTTCTCAGAAAGCAAAGAATCCATCTGACATTTCAATAAATATTAAATTGCAAAAAAATAGCTTCCATGGACTAGATATCCAAGAGTAGTTCTGATGAATGATTCCCAGAATCAAGTATGGCCGCTTTTAGTCCAGTGAGATGATGTCAGGAATGTTACTTCCACTGCTGGTTATGACCCCTGTGTCACTCCTGCTGCTGGATGAACTAACATGAGTACTGCTTTCATGGGGGCTGGTGGTGGTGACGGACGTACTGCTTGTTGTTAAGGGTGAGGTGAGACTATCCAAAAACATAGGAGGACAGTACTGCTTGAAACAAACAATGATGCTGATGAGGAAGAGGCTACATTGGTTTAAATAAATAGACTAGAAATTGTTAAAATACTTACAAATGACAGGTACAAAGTTAAATCCTCAGGGGATTTAAAAATAACAAATTTTGTATTTAAATAAAAGATGGTAGGGGCTTAGCTATTTTATATTCATGAATGCCACACATTTTTAATTGTCTTGAATGTGTGGAACTTGTTTGTTGGCCATATACACAGGGAAAATGCAATGTCAACAATGACTGAAATCATTTCATGTTAAATACTGATACCCCCAATTATGACTAAAACTGACCTCAAAAACAACGTAATAATTGAAAAAAGTTCACTGATTTTTCAAAATTTAGAATCAAACAGACCCTTTAAGAGTTATGTTAACAGCAACAAGCTGAATGATGGCATTGGAGTCGCTTTAAACAAAGACAGCAATACCTGTATAATTAGCATGTCAACATTCATTCTGAATTTGAGGCTATAGGATGTTGAGAGAATAATAACATAACCACAAATTTAATATTCCTTATAACGCTTCTTAAGATCCTTCTCCAAATATTTCAAGTACCCTTCCATCTGGATAGCCAATTCACATAAAATACAAAACCTGAGCACAGTAATCTAAAATTATAAGGAATTAAAATAAGAGCTAACTGGAATTTTATATTTCACAATACCATGTTTTACATGAGGCACAACTGCACTGACTTTGGTATAGATAATGTCTAATGCTATTAAGTTTGTCTTCAGTTAGACTACAGGAAAAAAACCAACAAGGATACCTAATGTTATGTATCCTCTATATCATTTAGACTCTTAGAGACAATGAGTTATGGACAGCAATTCAAAACTAAACTGTTCAGATTACATGGTTTTCAAGGCGCATTAAAAGAAGAAAAAGAAAACAGCTGAGAGAACAAGTAAAATTGAGGCTGCCTATCCATTTATTCATTCATTCATTATTGATTGATTGTTTTTTGATTTTTTTTCCAAGACAGGGTCTCACTATATATCTCCAGCTTTCCTGGAAAGCACAACATAAGCACTACATAAACCAGGCTGTCCTTGGACCTCAGAGATCTGCCTGCCTCTGCCCCTCAAGTGATGGATCAAACAGGTGATCCACTATGCCCGACTGAAGCTGCCTTTTGACAAAGAAAGTTACTGGTTTTTCAGATGGATAATTCCTGGTTTGTCTATAAAATTAATGCCACCCATGAAAAATTCGACAGACATAAGAAGCTCTGAAAGTGAAATGTCAAGTATTAAAAATTCTCTAAAATCAAGTCAATTGTATTGAAACTGAGGAAAAATATTTTTAAAAAGCCTAGATGATTCCATTAAAATCTGCTACCATTCAAGCTTGTTTTTTCCTCTATCATAGCACTACTCTGTAAAAATGCTAAAAGGTGCCAACCTGTTGCCAATGGACTCTGTGCCTTGAATAATTAAGACTTGGGTTGTAGCCATTGCAACTTTTACTCTAGATCCCTTAAGTATATACCTGCAAAAGGATAACAGGAATTATGGAACAACATGGAGATGTAAGAGGAAACCTATGGATTCTATAGTCAAGAGAAGTGAAGTCATTCTCACCCTCCTACCAAGTTACCAAATAAATCAGTTTCCCACTAAGCATATAAATAAAACTATGAAATAAAAACCATGGGTTCCAAGATTATTTTTCTTTTAAACCACTGTTCACATAAAAGTATATAACTCTCTTAAGCTTGAAGAACTTACGTCCTAGAAAACTATGTAACTTCCCCTGTAAGGTCTTACTCATAAATAAAGTCAGGATGAGAAGAAAATCCTCAGTCTGTTAATATCTTGGGCTCAAATTTCCTGTGTTGTTTGTGCAATCAAATGCAGATACTGAGGAGATAGGAGGCTCATACTGGACCTGCAGTTAGTCAATTCTGAAATTGCTGAGACAGGGACAATTCTTCCACCTCTCCCTAGGTACCACTCAAGTGCTTTCTTTGGCTGTTCCACCTCGCCCCTTTCACTTTCTCTGCTTTGTCTCTGTTGTTAATGACTGTCAGCAGAATCCATGCTCACCATGCAGTGATTGGAATTCTGGGATACTCCTAGAATCTCTTTCCTTTGATTGGAAACACAGCAACTTTCAACTGAAGCCTTTTCAAAGTCTGACTCTGTCTTTCAAACAATGATCTAGCCTCAGTCAGTGATCCAGATCTGATGAACTTTAGTTGACTGTTTTATATAAATCTTTTAATGTGTAGAGCCTTAACTTCTATGCATTTAGTATTGCTGTCCCTAATTCTAATCACTCAAGCCCTTGTAAGAAAGATCAACTGTTTATGATAAAAAAAATAGAAAGTTAAGTAATAAGAACAATAAAAAATAAATTGAAAACCAGTAACTTTATTCCTTCGAATAAAATTGTACAATTTTTCTATGGTACTTCCTTTCTGTCCACATGAGAATCAACTGTCCTGATTTTATGCAACTGGTCATTTTCAGTTAGTATGACATAATCAACAACCAAATACAAATTAGTTGCTTAAATTCAGGATACATACCTGTGGATCAACTGGAATAAGGGAAAGAAAATCCAAACCTAGAACAAAAATGCTTTGTTAATAGTTGTCTCATATTGTGGAGACAAGAATTATTTCCCAAGATCATTCTGCATTTATAAGCCAGGGAACATCTGTGGCAAATGCTCACCTCAGCAACACTGAAGTTCTATAATCATAATTGGTGATATCTAATGCATCTAAAATGAAAGGTGAATATATTCTCTAACCAAACAACTGGAAAAACTGCCTCCTGACAACTCAAAAGCAACAATCCAAAAATTTCCAGAGTTGGGCTAGTTGACCAAAATCTTTTCCTTTTATAACTTAATATAGCAAGAAGCAATAAAAAAGAAAAATATGATAATCATCTTTGGACCATTAAAAAACAACATACTTAGGTTCTTATGATACTTCACATTTATTTTTCAGAAATACACGTTAAGTGCGAATAATACCAATTCTTTAACAGATCCCACATCAAGAATTCTACAGAATATAATGCTCTGCACAAAGCAAGCACTTGGGAACTGCTACTCACTACTAAACCAGTTAACACCCATTACATCTGCACTCAGCAAATGCAATTTCTAAACCAAGGAACTCTACAAGTGCATTCTGGAAATAGAAATGTGAAAAAGAAGTTCCTTAAATAAATACTCAAGTAACAGTAAGCTATAGGAAAAACATTGTCTGAAAAGTTTACCAATAATCTTCAACGTAAACTCTGAAGACTTCCCTGTGTGATCAAATACTTCTAAGTTATTTTAAAACATTTTTAAAAAGCACATCCTGGACAGAGGCCATTAAGTTAGGGTAAGGCTGCCCAGCAATTTGGAGGCAAAGACAGGCAGGTCTCTAAGAGTTCCAGGCCAGCCAGGGCTATACAGTGAGATCTTGTTTAAAAAAAGACAACGAACAAACAAACAAACAAACAAAATAGGCCAATGTCTGTTCAATTCCATAAATATTTATATGCTGGCATTTACTATACCAACCACATGGAGTGAAATTCTAATATAATACTATATCACTATGAAAATAGAGATTAGTAAGAAAGATAATGGACACATTTAATAAAAACTATGAACAATTTTAACTAAAAATATTTAAAGTGTCATTATTTCCTTATTTACAAATGCGTGTATTTTAAACATTTATGATACAAGCAGTAACCCCAGCTGTTGGGGAGGAATTACTGAAACAATTTCTAAAGCACATTTTCAACTTGTTAGTATAATCTGTTAATTAGCTACATAATATAGAACTTTAAACTGATGAACAAAGCAAGCCACAATTCACTGTTGAAATAATTTACCCATTAAAATGATAACCAGAAGGTGATATATTTAAATAAGGAGAACACTTTAAATTATTTAATAAACCTCTCTGCTTTTAAAAAGCAATTCAAAAATGTCTAACCTTTTTATGCCTTCTGAAAGTTTTATATGACCAAGTCATGGAATATCATTTAGTAAACCGGGTTGATTTTTATTCATTGTTGCTCCAAGTGGCATAACAATTTGTTCAATTTTAAAATAGCTCCTACTTTTTAAAGACATTTTAAAATCTATTTATTGAGTTTGTCTGTGGGTGAATGTGTGTGCAAGAACACACAGTGTTCAGAAGAGGGGGCACTAGATACTCTAGGGCTGCAGTTAAAGGTGCTGGTGAGCTGCCACATGGGTACTATAAAATCAAGTCAGGTTCTCTGTAGGAACAGTAAGTGTTCTTGTCACAAAAGGTCCTACTCTGTAGCACAGGCTGACACATGAACTCACTCCTTCTTAAGTGCAGGAATAACAGGCACAAGTCACTATGTCTGACTTTCCATTTTTACGTTGATTACTCAATCTATTTTAATAACAAGCTAAAAAAAAAAGCCAAAGAAAATACTACCATTTCAGAAGATGTACCACAAATCGAAACAAATTATTTGAGAATGCTCACTTTCCCCAATGTTCAACTGTTGCCACTTCGTGACTCTAAGTGGACATGAAAGTTTGATAAAAAATTACTACCATCTCTGTGCTTTCCTATTACAGAATGTACACTGAGCGCCAATGGTTCCCAATATTGGTTATTTCAACCCAGCTTTCCAGATGGACTGACATCTTTTTTTTTTTTACTGGTTCCGCGTGTCCTAGCAAATGCAAAATCTATTTTAAAAAGTTTTTAGATGAATTTGATCTATTTGTTTTAATGTCTTACCCACAGATAACTAGACTACAACTTACACATGCCCATAAGATGTATAAACATTTTTCTAAAGCTTCGTTGAAATTCAGATTGCCTTCCAAGAATCACAAACTCCAAAAAGGGTTTAATGTGAATATTCCTCAATGAAAACATTCCCATGTAGTTTGAAAGTTATCCCTACTAATAAAAAGAATAGACTATCATCATTTTTATCATTTAAGAACATCATTTTGCATATGAAATGGTTTCAACAGTAAATTTTTACTGCCTTGTTAGGAATACTATTTTCTTATTTTGTTTCAATTGTAGCAACATATTGACAGTTTCTTTTTTGTCCTCATTTTAGTTGAAAATGCTGTTATCTTTAACTAAAAAGAAGATGCTATTAAGAATTCTAACAATACAATTTATGCTTTTAATTAATACTAATAAAATTGTAATTTTTAAATTTTAAATTCATTAATAAAAAGGACTGATCGTTTACTTCTTGTCCCCTCATTGACAAACACACAATTTTTCCTTACTTGAGCCATAAACTTCACAAAGAATAAATGCTACATGGTTGAATATGTAAAAGGTTTTAGCACTTTAAAATTTAATCATACAACTTTTGAGCACCATTCGCACCTGACAATATGGCACTAGCAATAATAAGGCAGACATATTTTTTCTTGAAATAATCAAGCTGTTTTCCACTCCATAAATACAAATTATGTTTTATTTTGTATTCACTGTTGCACAGTATCAGAAGATGTTCCAAGCTGCACTTCGTTATTAATATCATTTCTTCTTTGTTCTCCTGCAGATTCAGAAGATTCAGATTTATGATGTTTAAAAAGAATGTTAGAATCTATGAAAACTGTCTTCTCTCCATTCTTGTTGTTCTACTTAAATTTTTACTATAAAATTATTAAATTTAGCAATAGCGAAACTGTACATTATGACTAATTACATAAAAATTATATAGCAGATCACTAATTACCAAAAAGTGCATAGACAATAAAACAGGAGTAAAAAGCTAAACTTCTTACATGTCTAATTGCAATACAACTTTTAAGAACAATTTTTCCTAAGAATAACTGGCCCTATTCTATTTAAGCTTTTTCAAATGTTAAGAATGTTTTTCAGTATTTAACCAGATTATTGGTTTATATTGGTCAATTATCAGCCTTGAATATAAGTATGATTTCCACAAGCTTAATTTTTTTAAAAATATAAAAGTCATTTTAGAAAGACATACCACCACAAAAAAATTCACTTACGCTCAAAATCAGAATATTAACTCTCCCAAATTTAAAGAAACCATTCAGACTCCCATGATATGCAAACTAGCGGGACTAGTGATTCACACATTTTTTTGAGTATTTCTACAAAATAGAGGTTCGCTTTAGTAAATGGAAATGTTCACTATCAAAAACTAACTTTCAGCTAAAGGTCTCAAGCAAATCCTTTAGAAATACATACTTCTAAGACATATGAAGACAATGAACATTCATTCGTCAGTTTAGCCAAGGTTCCAACACACTGATTATTAAGAACTCTATTGTGAGACTGTGAACCCTCACATCTATGTCCTAGCAGTCTCTGCACACAATGAATATGTTCTGACTGGTCTTAGATAGTCTCACAAAGAATGTGAAAAGTACAAAAATCACAAACTACAAGTGAAGCAAACATATGTTAATCTCCAATGTCCTTCGATGGTTTTTAAAAGACATTTTTGGTGGGTATTATTTTTCATTTACTCTTTTCCACTAAATTTTATTCAGATAAAACTAAATTCAAGAGGAAAAACTGTACAAGAATAAAACTATCAATTTAAGAATAAAATAAACCAAAGATCAAAACCAACTTAAAAAAAAAACAGGAGCAAAGTGTATTAAATTAAAATTGTTCATAGCTAGAAGTCATAAATATATGATGTACTAGTTCTAACTTTGCTCAGTCTTGACTGACAAAAGATATTAAAAGAAGCATCTTAGCACAGAGGAAGGAAGAAAAAAGACTGGGAGACTGTGGTTAAATTTTATATCATGGTCTTGGCTGCATAAATTCTTGTACTAAGGTAATTAAAGCAAATTTGAATTGCTAACATGTGATGATTATACATATAGAAGTATCTCCAAATATTAAGACCTACTTTAGAGAAATACATGATTAACCCCATCCTTACAGAAAAGAAAATTAACAAGGTGAGGATCACTAAGCAAAAATGGACCCAAATGTATAGAAGTTTTGAAGAAAGACTTTTAAGGAAACTCTGTCCCTTAAGCTTCCAAGAAAAAGCCTGGGTACAAATTTTCTACAATTTTACAAAAACTTCCTACTTTACTCGAATATATCCTATCATCAGAAATCTATAGATTCTCATTAATTAAAATAATAACTGAATATCACATACTAGACAGAAATACTTCTACATGAGGTCTTGAAGTTTGAGCATTTACATTCAAAATTAATTTATTTATATGTATATATGTATACACACAAACATATATTTGTTGTGTTGATTAAGATTAAAAAATATAACTAAATCAAAGGAAAGAAAAGTTCTTCACATACCTGGCAAATCTGACGACACTGGCGTATGGTGGAACGGTACTGAGTAGTCTGTTAATGAAGGTGGAATAGCAGCAGGATCAACCGAAGTCACACTGGGCACCCTTACAGAGGATGGCTGATACATGAGAACCCTGTTTTAAAAAAATATGGGAAATTTCAAATAATCCGGCTGTTAGTTCACAAGAAAAAAGAGCTAAACTACTGAGCATTCTCAGATGTACGATCACTTAGTCTCAATCATTCACTACATAATACTTCTCTATTCTATTCCCTCTTTCCTAACACCCTTCATTCTAACGTGAATGCATCTTGATTCTAAACACTAACTGCTGGTGTAGAAGCAAAGTGGAAAATAGACCAGAAAACAGTGGTTCTCACCCTATGGAGGTCAAATGGCCCTTTTCACAAGGGTCACATAGCAGATACCCTGCATATCATTATGATTTATTTACATTATGATTAAAAACAATAGCAAAATTGGTTATAAAGTAACAACGGAAATAATTTGATGGGGGGGGTCACAGTATTAGGAAGGTTGAAAACTATGCTGTAATAAAACAGTACTTTAATTCAAAAATAAATACATTTTCTGCTAATATATACATAACATGTATATAGATAAAATAACTGGTCTATAAAGACATTTAAGACTGTCAGGTGGTGGTGGCTCACACCTTTAAATCCCAGCATTTAGGAGGAAGAGGCAGGTGGATCTTTGAGTCTGAGGTCAGCCTGGTCTACAAGAGCTAGTTCCAGGACAGACTCTAAAGCTACAAAGAAATCCTGTCTTGAATTCCCCTCCCCCCAAAAAAAGGAAAGAAAAAGAAAAAAGAAATTTAAGATTAAAATAGATGGCAATTAAGGTTTACTTAAATTGCTGGGCACAATGCACATGCCTTTAATCCCAGCATTCCCCAGTATAATTTACATAGTGACTTCCAATCCAGCTAGGACTACATAGTGAGATGTTGTCTCAAAAACAATACAAAACAAAAAAAGAAATAATAAAAAGATTTTAAAATAAGAACACCTTTATGAAAATACTAATACCAGTTCAATCAGTCTCTTCAGTTTTAATTATCTAATCAATTTCAATTACATAATTTGAAATCTGGATGTGATCTGAACTAAATTAATTGATTCTAAAGCTAGCCAGTCTGGTGGTACAATGACACAATCAGAAATTAAGAGAAGATGACCAGTCTTTGGGATTTAAGATCTTTATGATGTCCAGAAATAAAAATGTAGTTGAGCCTATTAATTATAGTTTAGGCTAGGCTTACACAGAGATTTCATTCATATTTACCCAATTTTTTTCTTAGCTTGGAAAAGCCACAGCAGCATTATGAACTGTTTACAATGGGAATGGCTATTTTAGCAACAGGTATGAAGATATGAACGGGAGTAAAATATCTAAATTAGCATTCCACAGCTGCCAGTTAACACCAAATTCAAAAGACCAAGACTGAAGCAAATTAGTATGAGGATGAAGGCAGCACAATTCTCTGGGCAGGGGATGCACCACCACAAAAATCTAAACACTGACACAAGTCTGAAACCCTGACATTAGCAGTATTTGAGAGGCAAACATCAGAAGTTCAAGGTCAATGCTTTCCCAAATAAACAAAACAACAAAAAATGAGGATAGGAGCAGAGAGGTGGGGACAAAAGAGAAAAGGCAAGAAAAAAAAAAAAGGAAAGAAAAAATACAACTTCTTTAGAAACTTTATGGAAAACCATGGTGACAAAGTGGGACTAGGATGATAATCAGGGCATCTAGATAGACTTCTATTTCCATAGCTGAAACACATTTCATTTCAACTATCATACTTGCATGATTCTCCAGTCAAATTTAACCAATAAACTTCTATAATCTTGACTTAGTGTGAAAGCCTGAAGTAGTTAGAATACAGTTAGACAAAAGTCCAACTGGTTTGTGTCATGATATAAAGACACTAAAACCTCCCTAGCTGCTACTCCACATCATTTGTCAAAAACAGATAATGGAAATGCAAAAAGAATACATACATGATTATATTGATAATTATGACAATGGCAAAAAAGGTGAGTAATAAAGGTTATAACAGTTCAGACATTCTGTAGGGCCATATTATACAGGCCCATATTTCTACATTATATGGCAGCAAGAATTTCAGGCCACAGTTTGCAGCACCTGCCACACAGAAGGACCTACCCTCTCCAGACAAACTGACACCATCATAAACAAAGGGTCAGGTTAAGCTAATGTAGCTCTGCTCCTTTTTTGTAAATTTGGGAGATTGCCTGGGGAAGAGGTGTTAATTCAGGAACATTAGATATGGGGGGGGGCGCATTGGTTTTGATTTGATTTGAATGTAACTATGTCCTGGTTAGCCCACCTGGGAGTAAGAAAGATATAATTTATTTCACAAGAACACACAGTTATGAGACCATGGCTATTTTAGAGACGCTCTGGAGTTTTAGATAAACTTTGAACTTTTTAAGCCTTGGATTTCTTTAAAAACTGGAACTTTTAAAAGTTTGAGTAGGGGCTGAAAAGATAGCGCAGCAGTAAAAAAAATCTCTGGTCACTCTCCCCCCAATTACAGCTTGATTCTTAGGGTCATGATAGCTAAAAACTGTAACTCCAGCTCCAAGGGATTCTGGTCCTGAGATAACTGCCTGCATACAGGGCATAGACATATACACGGACAAAATAACCACACACACACAAAACAAAATAATAAAAATTGGATTATTTTATTTTGTGATACTACAGTAATGTCATCTTGGGAACAGACGGTTGTGTTTGAACAGTGGTGTGCTTGTGTATCAGGATGACAAGGGATCAAATGTGCTGGTTAGTTGTCAACTTGACACAAACTAGAGTCATCTGAGATGAGGAAACTCAACCGATAAAATGCCTTCATAAATGACCTCTTATATGAGGGCACAACACTGAATGATCACTATGGGAAGGCCCAGCACTGCAGGAGGTACCACTGCTGGGCAGAAGGCCCTGGGTGGTGTTTTTTTTTTTTTTTTTAAAAAAAAAAAAAAGCAGGATGAGGAGGTCAGAGGAGCAAGTCACTAAGTAGCCTTCCTTCCTCCATGAAATCTGCCTCAGTTCTATCCCCAAGTTACTCCTTGAGTCCCTGCCCTGACTGCAATGGTGGACTGTGATATGAAGCTCTACGCTGAAACAGGCCCTCACCCCTCCACGCTGCTTCGGGTGCTCATCACAGTAAAAAGAACCCTAACAAAGACAAGTGTTTTCAGTGAATGGGCTCAACAGAAATAAGATGGAGTAGTAAAGAGGAAAGAATTAAGATAATGCCTATGACCTGAAGAGGGACTTAAAATATTGATTAATCTTACTGTCTCACGGTATTGCTTTCTTATTCATAATTTTTAAAAATGTAATCTAAGTGAAGAAAACCTCAATTAAGAAAATGTCTCCAGAAAAAAAGAAAGAAAGGAAAGAGGGAAGGAAGGAGGAAGGAGGGAATTAAGAGACACTATTTTAAATGTACAGTGTGTTGAATGCATGAAGCGTGAGTGCCTGGTGTCAGTGGGGGCCAGAAGAGGGCATCACAACATCTGCAAGTGGAGTGTTACAGTTGTGAGCCAACATGTGGTGCTGGCAAAAGAACCCAGTTCCTCTGAACAGCAACAAGTATTCTAAACCACTAAGATATTTCTCTACAGCCCTCAAAAAATGAAATTTTAACTCAAAACAGCAACTACTAATGATCAGGAATTTTTCCATGTACTACTGTTCTGATCTGGACTCTGCTACCTGTCATATAAAGAAAAATTCAGTCAATAGTTTTCTTTAAGAATCAGAATAGTTCTGGGGACTGGAGAGATGGCTCAGTGGTTGGTCTTCCAGAGCTCCTGAGTTCAATTCCCAGCAACCACATGGTGGCTCACAATCATCTGCAATGAGATCTGGTGCCCTCTTCTGACCTGCATGCATATATGCAGGCAAAACACTGTATACTAAATGGAATGAATGAATGAATGAATGAATCTTTTAAAAAAGCAATCAGAATAGTTGTGACAGTCCCCTTTTTGGCTTACTATCATCAGTCCTAACAACATCCACTCATCCATCACATTCCAGGCTTCACACTACTCGCTTTCCTGCTGCTTCCTCTGCGCTGCATTCATGGGCATTTCTCAATGATCAACACTGGCTAAAATACTAAGTACAAACACATGCCCTAAATGGAATAAAACTGGTATGATATGTATACTGTACACTGTTTCTTTTATTGAAGCAATCTAATAAGAACTCAGTTTAAGCAGACAGTCTATCATCAAGTTTATCAGGACACACTTACTGAATACTTTTAAAGCATCTGTTAACTTAGACAGCTGTCCTTATGACAAAACCAATCATCAATGTAGTTTCCAATGCTAAAGAACTCCTAGAAAAAACTTTACTTATCTCATTTTAATACATAATTACTAACTTCCTAAGACTGAGCTCAGAATTCTCATTATATGGGTTCATTTTGTGTGGTGTTAATGTGCAAATGTGATTTAGGTATTATGTATTAGGCATTTAGGATTATGTCAACTTTATGAAAATAATCAGGTAGCTGAAATTTAGACTTTTAAGATATAAACTTTCAAGTATCCTTGATATAATTACAAATTTTCACCTTATATCTACCAGTGTTTTTTTTTTTCAATCTCCATAAAGAGTCTTAATATCTACCTCTGTGGTATGTGACCACAGTATAAACTATCTCTGTTCTGATGCATAAAGTGGCCATTTTGAACCTCTCTCACCTCACGTATGTGCTATCCCTCCAGTCTCATGTCATCCTCAAGTACCGGGTTAACAGAGTACAGGACACATGCGGTAGACAGTAGACAGTTGTAGTATAAAGCCAGGCACCGTCTATAATTGCTTCAATTTATGAGTCAGAATTGCTACACAATTTTCGGTCACACATGAAATGAACCATAAGACCTGTCACTCAGTATTCCTCATCTTATAAAGTACAGTTTCTTAAACTACAGGTAATGTCCCCAATGGGCTTACAGGCAAAGGTGTCTGAATAAACACCCAAAATTAAATTTGTAAATAGATCATAATTCAAGGTGTCTTTGGCAATAGTCACCCACGTTCCACCATGTGACTCCATTTAACCGTTCTTAACACAAATACACATGCTATGCACTGCACATGTAGTTAAACCATTCCAACATGACAGCTGAAATGCCTTGGCTCAATTTCATCACTATTATGACCTGCCATGTTTTTACTGTACATATGAGTTTTCTACTGTTACTAGAATATAATAATTATGAAAAATAAAACTTAATTTCCTTATGTCACTGTTTCTCAGGATATAAGAAATTATAACATCTTTGGATAATATTGTATTACAGTTTGACTTCAAATATTTCTTTTAGAGTTGGCCATTTGAGGTTCATTTAAAAAAATTATGAAATGAATTTTGAAGTATGATTAGGAAAATTTTCTCAAGAATTTCTGAACTGTTCCTTAACATACTAACGCAATTTGATTCTATGTATTTAATGTGAATGAATGTTCTCGGCACTGATTATAAAATTAAAATAGCGATCAAATCTAAAACATGTTAAAGATGTTCTATACCCAGCAACACCAAATATTTAGCCAAAATTTAGTGTGTCTGTGTATGTACTCAACTGTGTACATGTGGAAGTCAAAGGCAGTTACCAAGATGTACTCTTCAATCTTATTTTTTCGAACAGGATTTCTCATCCAACCTGGCACTCACTGATTCAGCTAGCCTGGATGAGCAGCTAGCCTCTGGTATCTGCCTGTCCATCCCCTCAACTCTGCACTGAATCACAGACGCATAGATCAGAAATTTACATGGGTGCTGGGGACCTAACTTCAGAATCATACCTACAGGACCATCTCCTTGGCCAACCATTTAATTCTTTTTTTTTTTAAGATTTATTTATTATGTATACAATGTTCCTCCTGCATGTACACCTCTATAGCAGAAGAGGGCACCAGACCTCATTACAGATGGTTATGAGCCATTATGTGGTTGCTGGGAATTGAACTCAGGACCTCTGGAAGAACAGTCAGTATTCTTAACCTCTGAACCATCTCTCCAGCCCCAACCATTTAATTCTTTATGTAAAAATAGACACACCTAGCCGGGTGGTGGTGGCGCACACCTTTAATCCCAGCACTCGGGAGGCAGAGGCAGGTGAATCTCTGTGAGTTTGAGGCCAGCCTAGTCTACAAGAGCTAGTTCCAGGACAGGAACCAAAAAAGCTACGGAGAAACCCTGTNCAACTACCACAAATGTCCTATGAGTATTCTTGTATTATGCTAGGCATGCACACACACACACACACACACACACACACACACACACACACATACACACTAAAGAATTGCTTCTAAATAAGTTTATGACTTAGTATAAGTAAATGATGTGCATACTTAGTTCATTATTCCTGGGATCACATAACAATTTCTCAGGCAAAAACTGATCATGAGGGGCTGGAGATGGTTCAGCAGTTAAAAGCACCAGCTACCAGAGGACCCAGGTTCAATTCCCAGTACACATATGGCAGCTCACAATTGTTTATAACTCCAGTTTCAGGGAATCAGACATCATCATGTAGACATGCAAGTAGGTAAAACATCAATGCATATAAGATAAAAATAAATCATAAAAAAAAACAAAAGAAATATTTTTTAAACCTTGAATAGAAAAACATGAATAGAATTTTACACATGAATAAGTATGAAGCTCTTATAACTATAAACATTTAGTTATACTTAAAATGACAGGGTAAAATTTAGAAATACTTAAAACAGATTGATTCTACACTTCAGTAAGCACTTTAAAACTGGATCTTCATTTGTTTACCATCTGATCTTCAGAAGTATCAAACAAATTATGCAAAAAACAGCAATAATCAGCATATCACTAAAAAATAGTACATAGTTTCCTCACTTTATGTTGTTAAAAATAAACTTATTCTAATTAAATAGGTAAAAGAAAATATAAGCCTGTGTTCATAGTGTGATATATAAATCAAGTCCTAAATATGAATACTTTATTTTAGGATTTTTGGGGGCAAGAGCCTAGGTTGGTCTTAGATTCATGGTGATCTACCTACCTCAGTCTCAGAAATGCTACTATCACAAGTATTAGCCACCATACCAGCTTAGAATAAGTGCTTTAATAGCACAGAAAGCAGCTCAATAGTTTTAAGCTTAACATTTTTTGTTGTTGTTTTTGAGACAGGGTTTCTCCATATAGCTCTGGCTGTCCTAGAACTCACTCTGTAGACCAGACTGGCCTCAAACTCAAGAAATCCGATTGCCTCTGTCTCTCAAAAGCTGTAATATAAGTAGAAAAATCAACACTGCCTACATATAGAGGAAGTGCGATAACAAACAAGTGAGGAAATGGGGTTTGCACACTGGAAATATGCTGAAACTGTTCTGGAGTACTGAACGTACAATGATATGATGTATGCTGAAGATAGGTAAAATTTTGTTATTAAAAAGATGCAGAAGAAAATACTAAATAGGCTGAGGACACAGTTAAGACTAGCTGGGCTCCAAAGGTCCCAATACCTTCCCCATATTAGTCACAGAATGTACATGATAAGGTGCACCCATATGCTTGTCCGTATTTTGATTTGTAAAGTGGAAAGGAAAGATGATGAATTTTCCTTAAGGAAATACCAGGTTCCTGACATGATGGCCAGGTTATTTTATAATCTCATGAAAACCTAATAGTGATTCTATGAAGCAGGTATTTTTCCTCATTTTAACAGAACAGAAAGTGGGTAAAAGTCAATCAAGGAATACAACCTAAATCACCTCACAAGTATACAAGTGCCAGAAAAGATCTGTCCTTCCAAGCCTCCTGCATCTACATTCCATTATACCAACATTCTTACACTGGACTGAGATACCAAATCATACAAGTGGGTTCAAGAATATAACACAAGGTATAAACACTTAAATTCCCACTTCCTAGAGATGCTGAATATTTCTATCAAAGTTTGATTTCCTGTAAATAATGTTCTTACTTGAAAATATTTCAACTATACCAAAAGCAGATGAAAACTGTCTTCGATAGTGACTCTGCACAGACATATTTCAAAGCCACCCCAAGAACAACTAGTTTTAAGTGCAATGAACAATAGTGAACTATAAACTGACGAACCCTTTGGTTGGACTGCTTTGTGTTTCTGACATAAAGATGCATTTCCTTTTGGCAGGAGGGTCGTCTTCTTCATCAGAAGAGCTCTCTATTGTTAGATCAATAACATCTATCTTCTTCTTGTTTGCATCACTGGATATAGTCATTGAACAAGGTTTACTAAAGACACTTGTACCTGGAGGTGGATCAACAGGAAGAAAAAAGAAATATCAAAGATAAAACACAAATAAGCTCTAAGTCTTAAATGCCTACATATATACATAATACACATCCAGGGAAGCCGTTTCACTCTAGTAGGGACAGAGTCCAGGTGCCTACCTTGTCTGTTAAACATTTATGTCAAAGTCAGGGACATTCCTGACAGAGATCAGAGCCTCCTTCACAGTACACTTATTCTCTCCAGGACTATCAGTAGGTTAGTACAGGGTCTAGTACTGCTCACGCTGTCTGTCTGGTTAGTAATTATTATACAGACCGACCTTAAGGGTTAGGAAACTGGTATCATGCCATGTGACAACAGTGTAGAATGTGCACAGTCAGCTGTGTGTTGTTATACACATATGGCACCATTAAGTAAGAGACATCTGGCCTCGAGTATGCAGTATCAGCAGCTGTATATTTTTACATGTAGCATCACTGAGTCAGAATCTGACATTTCAACTATAGCAATCTTGCTCATATTTAAAAAAGAAAAAAAATCCCAAATTAGTTACCTAAGTAACTGATATGAATCATCTAGTTATCACCCATTATGTTTATATAAGTAATCACGTTTAGCATGTTATGTAATGTTACACCCTCTCATCTATCAAAAAAAAAAGAAAGAAAAAGCATCACATATTAATCAATAAAACTGTGTCTGCACACTTTTTACATAATAAGGGCAACCCTGGCAATCTAATCCCTAAGAGATCCGTGACGATCATAAGAGAATAATGAACATAGCCATAAAGTCTTTATTTCTAGTATTCAGAAAATTATTTTTTTTTTAAGAATTTCAACACAGAAAAAAGTCAAATGCAATGAATTCAGAGGTTGAATGTATGCGTGGTGGACTTTACTTCCTAAAACTCCTTCAGTGTGTCCTTTAGTGCACGTTAGTGTAGGAGATTAAAAACAAGTGCACACGCTGGGTTACTAAAGCTATGAATAAAATCCCTCTACCAAAATCAAAAACAGAAGAATTTGTTCAATAACAGCTAATTCGTGACCACTGTCTTCACACTAATAAATAATACATAACCTCCCTAACAACACTGGCTTCTGTAAAGACACAAAAAACAATGTCTAACTTTTCTTGTTTGTTTCTCAAATATGTATACATAGTATGCATGTACGCGCGTATGTGTCTGCACATATATGAGCATGCATGTGAAAGGTTAATATGAAGCACATTCCTCAATTGTTTGCTATTTTATTAACTTACACAGACTGAACCAATTTGATTACTTAGTCTAGTTCAATGGTTCCCAACCTTAATGGTTCCTAATGCTTTAACACAGGTCCTCATGTGGTGGTGACCCCCAACCATAAAATCATTTTCGTTGCTAGTTCATAACTCTAATTATCCTATTGTCATGAATCATAATGTAAATACCTGTAAACTTTGATGATGTTACACAAACTCAAAGGAGTCTTGATCTACAGGTTGAGAACAGCTTTCCTTGGGGATTCCTGTCTCTGCACTGGAATCATACTAGGCTTACACATGGTCACCCAGCCTTTATGGGTGCCCAGAATCTGAATTCCAATCTTCAAGCTATACCCAAAGCTTCTTAACTTTAGATATCTTTACTTGTTTTGCACCTAAAACACTATTTAGAAGCTGGTAAGATATTTTCAAAAGAAGAAAAAGAAGGACGGATGGCCCAAAGATAAAGCTAGCTAATTAAACCCTAAAAATATTCTTGGTGGTTAAAGTTATTATTTAATAATTTGCACTTCTTTGGGAATTCCTGCCATTCAGCACATACTTTCGATTTTTGTACAAGGCTGGCTGGTTACTTTCATAGCTTCTTTCTTGGGTCTCATTGGACACCAAGAACCATCTTCTTGGAACTTGATCTCATCTACATCAGAACAGTCACTGAGAATTTCCATGAAAAGCCTGTAAATCAATTAGAAGTACATACATGTCATAATAGTCAAAGATGGAGTAAGAAAATAGTATACACTAAAAACAAAGTAATAGTGCAAAACTTAAAAAGAACTTTTTTGGAACTCCAATTACTTTACACTTTATGACAATTACAATTCCTGTTTATGGGAGGGAGGCAAAATGATGGAGGGACGGATGGGTGGGTGGATGGATGGATGGACAGATGAACAGGAACAGAAATCAGGACTATTACTGCATATGATCATACTTAGGCACACATATATACACATAATTAAAAAAGTAAACCTTTACTAAAAAGACTTATTAAAAATCAGTTCATATAATTTGCCCAATCCTAAAACAAACAATATAATAAATAACATTTAGAACTTAACTCCTGAGTCAAAATAACCTAAGCACAGCCTTAAAACTTAGCAGCTATATAATGTGATCACATTAACCACTTGCCCTATTACTACTTAGTGCTTTGATTTTTTTAAGACAACGTCTCATTATACAGTCCTAACTAGCCTTAAATGCAGAGATCTGCCTCATCTGCAGGCTGTGTTTTGTTGTGTGTCGTCCCCGCCCCCATCTTTCCACCTATTTCTTTTTTGAGTTGTTTGGCCACAGTTATACCCATAGATACACTTACCCATCTAAGATTAGACTTTCATAGGCAGCCTTTTTGTCACAAACAGGACAAATCCAGGTAGGCTTCTTCTCATTCATTTGCAGATAAAGGGCAGCATCAAAACACTGCAGATGTGTACAAGTCACTGCACGGCATGGGATTGTCAGCCTCATTTTTCCTAACTACAAAACAGAGAACACAACATGAAAATGAGCTCAAATAAGACAAGAAAGCCTTCAGGAGAAAAAGGGTATTCATAAAGGTCTTAAGAACCAACCTAAATTTGTTTTCATAAAGATATTTTTATAGTTTTACTTATGGGTAATCTCAATATTTCTGAAAGATCACTTCACTTTAGTAATGTGCAAGTCCAAAGGCAGAGAAAGACACACACCAAAGCAAAACAAAACCCAAGCCTGCATCTTACCTGGCCCCTAGTCTCTCTATTAAGGAAATCACTGTTAGACAATTCTTGCATGCCCTTTTGTGAATGTTCTAAGCAGAAATCAAATATATATTTTACAACTCATTTTCTCACAAATGATGGTGCATTTTACAAAATTTTGTACCTTACTTTTACCCATTAACTACTACATAAATCTGTATAAAAAAAAGTAACCACTAGAAGTTAGAGAGCAAGATCAATGGTTCAAAGCACATACTGAAGCTGAAGTGACCTTAGTTCACATCCCAGGAACCTCATGAGGTGGCTCACAACCACCTGTAACTCCAACTCCACATGCCTCTGACCTTCATGGGCACCTGCCTTCATGTGAACAGGAACACATGAACACACGAACGAACACACACTTTAGAAAGTAAATCTTTTTTTAAGCTACCACAATACAAAGACATCATGGTTTACTTAATTAGTACACTAGTGGTGTAGACACTTAAGCGTTTCCCACCTTGTATCACTATGATGTTATAAATTAAGTACCTCAAAATGAAATTATTTTTGGATCAAAAAGAACTCTTTGTGATCTTTGAACAATGACAAACTACCTGAAATAGAGTAATCTAATGATTTGTAAAAATCATACATTAACGGGCTTGATTCCATTCAACCATTATCACCAGTGTTAATGAATGTTTGATTTCCACCAGTCTGGCTGGTAAGAAATACTTCAAGACAGTTATGAACTACATTTCTCTTATTTTCAGTGTGAACTGAAGCTTCTTCTACTTTTAAGAGCTATGTATGTTTCTAAGAACTCTCTATGCACACCCTTTACTGATTTTTTCACAGTCACTAAACTTATTCAGAGCTCTTTACATATAAGCTTCATGTGTAACATAAATTTCAAAGAGTCATGAAAACTTTTACAATTTACTATTATATAATCAAATGTGTCAATTTCCAGTATGTTTCTATATAGCTATATCTATATTGCTCTGCTTACTTCTTAGAGAAGAGGTCCACAGATACCCACACCTTCATTAGACCAGGTGAAGTTTCCTTTTATAACCCTTAAGACCTCCCCACATGTCATTACAGAAAACATCTCCATTTATGAGCAGTTTCTAACAAAGGATAGTATCTGTGTCTATTCCTTTATTTCCCCAGTGCTGGCTCAATACCAGCTCAAAGTGTTCTCAGTGTTTGTTGACTAGGTAATAGAATGTATAAGACTAGAAAGGAGACAGAGAAAACAAGGGCAGGAGAAAGGATTCTTAAAAAGTTAGTAACCTAAGCCATGCTGTGGTGGTACACACCTTTAATCCTAGCACTTGGGGGCCAGAAACAGGCAGAAGGGTCTCTGTGAGTTCGAGGCCAGCTAGTCTACAGAGTGAGTTCCAGGAAAGCCAGGTATACATGATGAAACCCTGTCTCTAAAGAAACAAAAAAACTAGAGACCTCACCATGTAGAATTAACCTGAGTTTAACAGAAAATCCAGTCTGTTCTCTTAAAGCATGCATTTCCTTGTTCTTTCTTTGAAAACAGATTACCCCTTCACTTTCCAGACTCTACTAAAGTTAAGAGCAACCCATAGTCCAGGAGCCACAAACTTGGTTTCTATTTTGAGATAAAGCTGTAAATATTACAAGAAACTACAGACAACTAGACTCCTGAGAGACAGTTAGTAGAGTTACATGCATATCCAAATGTTCCTCATTGCCATAATGCACCTCTAGTTTTTTTTTTGTTGTTGTTTTGTTTTTTCCTTGTTTTTTTCTGAGACAGGGTTTCTCTGTGGTTTTGGAGCCTGTCCTGGAACTAGCTCTTGTAGACCAGTCTGGTCTCGAACTCACAGAGATCTGCCTGCCTCTGCCTCCCAAGTGCTGGGATTAAAGGCGTGCGCCACCACCACCAGGCCTGCACCTCTAGTTTTTATAACATTAAATAGAATACTGACCTAAGAATTTAATCCCTATATTTTCTGATTTTATTAAATTTATGTCCTACTCAGAATCGAAGCTGACTAGATATATAACATTTTCAAGTATAAGATAAACAGTTTTAAGAATTTTTCTAAAACCAAACTATCTCTGCAATCTTAGAAGGAATCCCTGTATTTATGTAGTATTGGTATAGTCTCTGGAATAGTCATATTCAATTTAGGAATCCTGCATCAATATAAATGAGTTTTTTTACACTATTAGTGTGTGGAAAAAGCCATGAAAATAAGCTGAGTAAGTTATACTAACTTACTCAACAAAACAGACAGAAAATAAGACAGTGTAACTACTAATACAGTTTGATAACTGAAAAACAGTTTTTTAAAAATGGGCTGGAGAGATTTAAAAAAAAAAAAAACTGGGTGTAGTAGCATGTTTGTAATCCCAGTGCTGATTACTGGGTTCACTGACCAGAAACACTGCCCAGAGGCAAGTACCAAGTCCCAGGGAGATCTTTGCTCAAAAACTCAGAATAAATAGTTCCTGAAAAAAATGACACCTTAGGCTTAGGTTGCCATCTGGCCTGACATGCAGATAGACATGCTCGCTCGCTCGCGCGCGCGCGCGCACACACACACACACACACACACACACACACTTTCCAAAAAAGCTTCATGGGCTGGAGAAATGGCTCAATGGTTAAGAGCACTGACTGCTCTTCCAGAGGTCCTGAGTTCAATTCCCAGCAACCACATGGTGGCTCACAACCATCTGTAATGAGATCTGGCGCCCTCCTCTGGCGTGTGGGCATACATGGAGGCAGAATGTTGTATACATAATAAATAAATCTTTAAAAAAAAAAAAAAAAAAAGCTTCATAAAGATAAATAAACAAACAACATTTATCAAGACAGCAGAAAAAAGTCTATTAGAAATCAGTGCATTGACATTTTAGCCCAATCTGGCAGCAATTGTTGGAAACAAAATTGGAAGGATGACAGTTCTATTAGTGACCCTTTGATTTGTGTTAACTATGCTTGACCAGGATCCTCATCTACAAAATAAATATAATGCCTCACTCACACCCTGCTTCAACATTTACATGTTACAGAACCCAACAATTATTTTCTTCCCTCTCCCTCTAACATAACTTCTCTATTAAATTTTCACAAAGCACGTCTTACAAAGGTAGCAATCACCAAATGTTATCTAAACTACACTAGAAAGTCATGACTCACAGCTTTTCTCATAAAGATCTTCTTGTCTGAAAGGCTTTCTTCCACACACTTCATTTTACAGAAGCTTCAGCCACATCCTGACACTCCTCCACCCCTTCACTTATCACTACATGTAGTCTGCCTCTTTTTCATGGGATGTGTTCTCTAACTAGACTGTTTTTCTCTCAGTTAGCTCAGTGCCAACCACACATTACGCAGAGGATCTCAGAGCGGCTGAATGATTTCTCACCTTACTCTATGTAAGGAGATAAGAAATAAAAATTACTGTGTAACTTTAAGAGCGCACTAAAAAGACAGTCCACACATCCTAACTCATTAAACCAAGACCATCTATTAGCATTTACCAGACTCCAGTAACATTGCTATTTATAGTATTACATGCATTCTGATAAAAAGAATATGCAAACGAAGCTGCATTCTTTACACCATTAATTATGACAGGTTTCTGAGCCTAAGGCTTCTTTCTTCTCTTGTAAGTTACTGCTTTATAATTGCTTAAGATACAAAATACCCTAACACATACTCATGAAGATATCTAATAGAAAAGACAAAAATTTAGAATTCTATCAAAATATTCTTTTATCTATACCCACCCTAACTTTTATAAGATAACTAGTCATTTATGAAATGCAAAATTGATCAGAATATTTTGTCAGCTTACTTACAGGACACATCAAGGACACTCGAAGACTAGTTGTAGCAATTTCACTATCAGGATCTGCAGTAAGTTTTTCTTTAACTTTAAAAAGAAAATGGTAATAATAAACTTAGAAATTATGATAATATTAAGAAAAATTACAGAAAATATTTGAAAAGTTCCAACCCCCTTTGAATAGGTGAAGAAAGACAAAATGTTGACTATTAATGTAGTAAAAACACAACCACATTTCCATAATTAGATTAAGGAACACCAACAGGTTAAACTCTGCATCACATGCTGAATTTTTAAGATTTTAAAAATTAAGGCCACTGAGAGGGAAGAGTTATAAACAAAAAAATCATTGTTTTAGGATTTAAGAACACAATTAGGAGAGGAATAAGGAATGGAGCAGGGGCCTGGACTTTAATGTTTTCCAACACATACTCATTACATTTTTATTAGACTGCATTAGCTGTTTCCAACAACTGGTAAAATTGCAGACAGAAAAGCTATATTCTTTATTTCCTCTAACAACTGATAACAATGTAATAATGTGTCTGAGGTTTCTTTCACTAAGTAACTAATTCAAGTTACTTGCTACAATCACAGGAACATATATACTATGCATATGGGAGTGGGATGTGTCTGTGTACACATATATAGTGTATATATGGTATGCATGTGTATGTATATACTAGTGATTAATATTACTGTATATTGTTATGTATGTAAGGACTTTCCTTCATCAATGTGTCTCATGTTTAGTCTTAAAACATTACTTACTTAGCGCTCTGGAATGATCAGGATTCCTAATACCTTTCATTTTTAATCTCTGTAATAACATGGCTGATGTGAGCTGTCGTACAAGATATACAGACATGGAGTAATTCTATAAAAAAGAAAATCTGTTTTAAGGACAAGACAGTTTTTTAATAACTTATATAAAATACAAATGGAAGAAACTCCAGACTCTACAGGTAACACTCAAATAAGCCCCAAAAGAGAGTCAGCAACTGGGACAGGAACAACATCAACTAAGCATTTGGGAAAGCACTGGTTTTTCTCATTGTGAAATTACATTTCAGTCACTTGTCATTTTAAGACTTCCATGAGTGGTAAACAGCGGGGACAAGTGCTTTCAGATTATGTTTTCTAACTTAGCAAAATGAGTAGCTTGGGGCCACCCTGAGAACGTTCCCTCCCATGGCAACTAAAATTTTGTTTTTATTTACTTATATAACAATGCTTGAAAACGGTTCACACTGCATAAACCAAGTTCAATGACAGTGTTCTAAATTAACACTTCAAATTTAGAGTGCTAAAGTTCTAATTCTTTCAGAAGAGACTACCTGTTACACGACCTCAGGCAAATTACACCATAAAGTCCATATTAGCTTTTTCTGAAAAAAAGACTAACAAGTTAACTCCACTGCTAAGGAGCATTTTACTAAGGAAGGACAAATAAAACACAAAAACAAATTACAAAGATAAAAACCAGGAGCAGAAAGCTCCTATGTCTGATTCTAATCCTAGATATTATACAAAGAAACTGCTGCTAACTATTTATACAGGCCTGAGGGCTAAAATACTCTGCTTTGCCTCTTCACTGCATAACTCCACTCAATTTCACAATGGAGAAACCATTAAATAATTGCCAAACCAAATACTTCTAAATATTTTTGATGTTCTTTTAAGTATCCAAATTCCAACAGCATTGCTTAAATTTTAGGTTCAGTGATCACCTTAATTAAAAGTGTTTCCATTATACAACAAAACTAGGATGTCTGCAAATTTATTTAAAAATTTAAGTTATTTACAGATCTCTAATTATCTTTGTAGCTAAAATGAAACAAATAAAAAAAAACCTACAATAAACATAGAGCTCAATTTCTGGCCATGATACAGGAACATCACATTTTATTTCCATGAAATGGGAATACGACAGTTAATACTCAAAAATGTTTCTACTGTCTATTGTATAAACAACGAACTCAATACAAACTGTCTGCTTTAGCCAATATCATAATTGATATCCTCATTTTGAGACTGAGCATCAGTAGAAAGTCATGCCCATCAACCTGAAGCAATTCTGATTATTTTATGACATGGGTCTGATCTTATCTGACCTACTAGTTGCTTACTTAAAGGCAAGAACAGATACCTGATTTTTAGTGCTTTTTCTTTTGTTTTTTTGAGACAGGCCTTGGCTGGCCTGGAACTTGCTTTGCAAACCAGATCTGCCTGTCTCAGACTCCTTAGTGATGGGATTAAGAGTTCGCACCACCAAACCAGTCTAAGAAAAAGCAAGGGGGGGAGGGGGCTGGAGAGGTGGCTCAGAGGTTAAGAGCACTGGGGGCTCTTTCAGATGACCTGGGTTCAATTCCCAGCACCCACATGGCAGCTCACAACTGTCTGTAACTCCAGTTTCAGGGCACACAGGGGACACAACACCCATGACAAAACACCAATGGAAAAAAAAGAAAAGAAAAGCTTCTGAGGTTTTGCTTTTTAGACAGGTTTCTTGAACTCACAGAGATCCACCTGCTGCTGCCTCCCAAGTACAAGGATTAAAGATGTACACCACCAACCAGCTAAGAACAGGTTAGTTAGTAACAGATCATTTTTAAGTTAACCATTTCCCACAAAGACCAATAAGCTGTTTTTTGATCTTCTTCATAAATACATTTTCAGGTTATAAAAATACTTCTTAGACACACATCAAGCTTAAATTAAACCACTATTTGAAGAAATATAAACATACATATATTTTCACTGTAAAATGAAAACCAAATTCATGAAATATTAAAGTTAATCTCCACATTATCATCACTGCATAGAAAAAAAACTGCTTTTCAGAGGTTATAGTCGGAAAACAGAAGGAAATAACGTTCTTCAGTTTCAATGTGAAGCATCCCTCATCAGCCCACGTGTTTGAAAGCTTGGTCCCCAGGTGGGAGTGCTGCTTTGAGGCTGTGGAACCTTTAAGGGGTAAAGCTGAGATACAAAGCAAGGAGCTGCTTTTCCACCGCACCACGGTGAACTCTATCAACTCCAACTATGAATCACAATACGCTTCTCTTCATTGAAGGTACTTTTATCAGGTATTTTCAGAGCAACAAGCAATCACTATACAAAGCTGGCATCCTAAAAAAGAAATCAACTCCCAATAAAGACACGCTTTCATCCTACCCAGGAAAACAATTCTTACCTTTCCAATTTCTGATGCCCAAGAAATAGAAATCTGATTTGGCACAGCTGAAGACAATCTAACTAAAGATGTAATATTCAAGGGACGTCCAGGGCGCTTCTGTTCAATCCCATTTTTAGGTGGTGGTGCATAGCCCTATAACAAAAAATTAATTCTAAAGGTTCTGTATGACTTAACCATTTTCTTCAAGATACAAACAGGACCTTGCTTAATTTTTGTTACATTATTTTTATTTTGTCTTAGATACAAATATACCAGAAAAATAAAAACCCATATTCCACCATTTAAATTAATGTTGACATTTTGGCATACTGGCTAATGAATCTTTTTACAGAAAACCAATCTATACAGATAAATTGATACCTCAATAATAGCTCGTCTAAAGGGGGGCTGTCTCCTCTTGCCTTATATTCCGCTCTCCACCCAGCTATATCACGTCCTGTTTTCGCCTCCCAAGCACTGGAATTAAAGGGGTGAGCCACCACCACTTAGCTCTGTTTCTCTTTTAGATTGATCCAATCTCATTTAGCCCAGGGTGGCCTTGAACTGCCTCTTTCTCCTGAGTGCTGGGATTAAAGGTGTGCACTACTGTCTGGCCTCTATGGCTAACTATGGGACTAATTCTGCACTCTAATCTTTGATAAGCTTTATTTGCTATAGTACAAAGTATCACCACAGGTTTCAGCCATGTTGAACTATATACCTTACAAAAGATAAAATTCAGACTAGTACAAAAGCAGAGCTACAGAATATACCCAAGTAAAACAGATCTTGCGAACATCCTTAACTGTGTCTTGTCACGGCACAGGTACTGTGTCTGTCACGGGACAGGTGTTGGGTTCACAGGGTCCATTGGAAAGAAGACTCAGAGACACCTTAAAAATGAATTTAGCAGGCCGGGCGGTGGTGGCGCACGCCTTTAATCCCAGCACTCAGGAGGCAGAGGCAGGCGGATCTCTGTGAGTTCGAGACCAGCCTGGTCTACAGAGCTAGTTCCAGGACAGGCTCCAAAGCCACAGAGAAACCCTGTCTCAAAAAACCAAAAAAAAAAAAAGAATTTAGCATCTCGCAGCTGTAGGGAGATCCAGGCTCTAAGGACCAAAACACTTTTCCTTCACCCAAAGCATTACTATTGTCCTCTGTATTTACACTTTAGCCAGGTGATTTTCATATGCTCAAAAGAACCTGGCAAGCTTCCACAGGGAAAATGCCAAGTGTAAATTCTCAATAAAGGAAGGTACCAACCACGGTCTTCCAGGTTTCCGTTCCCAATCAACTTCTGCATAGGCTTTGTATCCTTGGGAACTTTCTCAGACAAGATTCTCATAGAGCACCAAGAGAAATAACAATGTATCAAAAGATAGATTAGGGCTAGGTGTTAGCACTCTGAAGCCAGAACAAAGCTGTTGGCTCAATCAACAGCATTGCCCCATTCTCTCCAGTCTGCATAAGGCTCAGCTTTTATTTCTTTAATCATTTCTAAAATGTGGCATCTGTAGAGCCAAGAAGAATCTGAGGCAAGTGCTGGAATCTGGAACTGGAGTTCCAGGCCATTCGATGTGACTTGCCCTATGTGAAAACTGAAAACTAAACCCAGGTCTTCTGCAAGAGCATCAAGAGTTCTTAATCACTGAGTCATCTCTCTAGTCCTTGGGTTTGGACTTTTGTGTACAAAATTTCATAGGGAATGTTGTGTCCTTCTATGGTACCACATCATGAAGCAAATGAAAGCTACTTGTCCCATTTTCAATGATTCATCAACCCAAGAACTTTAATCTGCGCAATAAGATTTCCCATCAAGGGGGAAATTTCTCCCTCAAGCTGCTTTTACCCAGGTGTTTATATTATAACTGCAACAGGAAAAGAAACTCAGACTGTTGGTGAGTTCCAGGTTAAGCAAGAGACTTTGTCTCAAAAAAAAAAATTAAATGGAGAATAGAGGAAAATATCCCAATATCAACCTTGGGCACATGCACACCCACACAGAAATTTAAAAATTAAACATGTAGCCAGTTCAGTAGATAAACACTTGCTGTACAAGTATGAAGACCAGAGTTCTGGTTCCTGGAACACAGGAAAAAAACATGGCAGCCTCCTAGGATCACAACACTCAAGAGGAGAGACAAGATTCCCGGAGCAAACTGGCAGGATTTGGTAGCTCTGAATTCAGTTAGATGCCCTGCCTCCAAACATAAAGTAGAGAGTGATCAAATAAGACACCAAACATGAACTTCAGGCCTCTACATTCATGGACATATTCTCATCATTCTGAACATATGTCAACATGTGAACATAAAATACTACATACTTGCACATAACATACATTTAAAGAAAAAAAATGAAATCATCTTGAAGTGGGTAAAATAAAGGTGCTTTTATCACGTACTTGATATGTGGGAGTTCGAGGACACAATACTATCAAAGCAATTAATATTTCTTATTCCATTTACTTTGTGCATGCAATATAGCAGCCATCTGTAATGGGTCTACAATAATATTGTAATAGAGACACATATGTAAGGACTTATGTTAGGTCATAGACAAGTTATGTTCAAATTTACCATGGAAAATTCCATAATCCTATCAAGATTATCCCTGCAGGATCTGTTTTCAGCAAACTGAGATCAAGGCAAGAACAAGTCACAATCTTTTGTGCCCTATTAATGCCTTTTACAATAAGGTTAAGGTCCCACAAGCTCCAGAGCTCAATTCAACCCCCAAAGATCCACTGCATCTTTGAGGCTGTAGTATGCTTACAGGATTTCATGAACCTCAGAACCCTGCCAAGTACAAAGAGACACTACATTTCATTATCCCAATGACCAGTAATTGGGGAGCAACAGGTATTTTGAGCAGTTTTTTATCAGCTCCATGTGAGCTTGTCATCTGTTCCCTAAGATTTCTCACATCTGGTGACACACATCTGTAATACTAGAGCTCAGAAGACAGGCAGGTAAATTATAACTAGGACAGCCCAGTCCACATACCACGTGTCAGGCCAATCAGGTCTCAAAATAACAAGAAAGAAACTTTCATGAAGCATGTGGAGTTGATGCAAAATGCCAAGCGCCTGTTGCTTTCCCTCTTTGTGAAATGTGTCTGTCTTTCTCCCAGTACTCACATTCTTCCTGATAGTATCCCTGGCTCAAGGGTGAGTGTCAGACTCTTCAGACAAAGGGTGCTGTATACAGAACCGCTATCTCTACAAACAGCCTAACGTAAGGACTTAAAAGTTGTTGGTGTTTTAGGGCAGACACCAACATTGTCTTAACAATGTCATAGGAATATTCCAAATATCTCATTTATTTTGTCTCAAAATGTCCAGAAGAGTAACAGAGACATGTCATAGTGAAGTTACAGACCTCATCCATTTAAATACTAAGCCAAAGCATGGTACTGACTGGGCCATTCAGAGTTTTGTGAAACTTACAGATACACTGCACAGCCATCACAGTTACTATAAAAACTCCAACAAATTTAGGAAGATCTGATACACTGCAAACAAACTCCATCAATGGCAGTCATATATAACAATGGATAGGATGAGACTGAGTCTATAAACACGCAAAAAGGCTCCAGTTTTATCTTTCTTCAAGGACAGTAAAAGAACTAGACAACGAAGAGTCCAGCAATCTTAGCACATACTACGAAATAAAAAGTAAATGTAGGGGGAAAATAATCACATAAAGTATGCACAGAATCGTCCTATGATTTGTGATTTTGCCAGGCTTCCTTTTTTCAAACATCCAACCATCCAACTGGTCATCCTTCAGCTCAAAGTAGAGGTGCTTTCTCCCCTGATTCAGATGTTTGTGCAATATACTCAGAAAAAGACAACTCTTCTGAATGTTAATGCTGAAGTCAGAAATCCAAGCCTTGAACCTTAGATCCTTCTGCCTCAGGCTTCCACATGACAGGATTCCAGGTGTGTTGCCATGTCTAACTCACATGGCTTTTGAACATGTACAGATCATGTAAGGTAAGCAATCCTCCCAGACCGTGTGGACCCAGATCCTTTAATTTCCCCTTTTGTCCTCAAAAGACTATCTCAGGCTTCAGTCTCTCAAACATCTTCTACAAGAGTCAGTTACTGGTACAGCTGTGCTTAAGCTCCGTAAAATTCATTGAGTAGGGCAATAAATGTATTCGTCAGGTAAAAGAGCTTGCCATATAAGACTGGTGATCAGAGTTCAATCTCTAGAACCCATATAAAGATGGAGGGAACTTAGTCAAAACTGTCATCTGACATCTACATGTTCACCATGGCACTCCTATGTAAGCACATACACACAAATAAAATTCAAGGGACAAGTGATTTTTCAGGTCCCATAGCAATGAATAAGACAAATGACACACTTAGCAACTATGGAAGGTTGGTTTTCTTGGGGGTAGAGGGTAGCTTAGGTCATGAACAGTAATAAGCACTTGGTTCTTGGAGAACCTAGTATTTCCGGACTGCACTGTATGACTTGCTCAGCTACTCAAAGGAATTACTCACATAGCCATTCAAAGTCAAGTCTCAAGCCTAGCAGGGATGTCACATAGCTTCTCTAATAGCTGCTTTTGCTGAAAAGGCAACTTGGAATAGCAGTGGAGTCACGGCACATTTCCATGACAACAAATGTACACCTCTGCTTTGTAGTGCTCAATAACTAGGCATCCCCCCCCCCCCACTTCTGAATTACAGTATTGGTAGCATTCTACATACCATTCCAATTTAGTAATGTATTCCAGTCCACAGTGGGAAATAATACATAGTACAGTTCAACAACTGAAGAGTTATTTTAAGACCCAAGGATTTGAACATTCCAGTAATCTCAGCCAGAAACATGCTATCCAAGTTCACACTATATATATTCCAGAAGTTGCCTCATTGTTAGACAACAAGCCGCCAATCAATTATTCATTCCCTGGGATCTGAAGCATGATTCTTTGGGATCATCAAGGCCAAGCTTAGAATCCTGGATTCTGTTGCTATTTCTGCTTTCCTTGATAGAATCTACAGGCCAAACACAGCTAATCCAGAAATTCACTACAGCATGTTTTTGTATGCTCAAGTGCCCAAGTTCAGCAGTTAGATATGACCCGAGCCAGTCAAAACTTGCTTGAATTCTAGAACATTTCAGGCTTATCCTTTTTAATCTTCCTTAGGCCCCAAATCAGCCATTTAGTTATCCAAGAAGTTATAAGCATGTCTCTAAAGGAGGCTAGAAATATTAATTAGTACCAAGTTGTCACTGTTCCCACCCTTGCCAGTGTTTACACTAAACTTACATAAAAATCTGGTGAACTGAAAGCAACTTACAGGCAAAGGGAAGAGTTTCCCATTTACTTTTATACACAAACTATTGGGATAGTTATCTTCTTGAGGGCAACTGGTCTCTGCCAAGCAAAGTCTGTATTTAAAAAAACATAAATAAAAAATTGTTAGGGAACCAAAACATGCTTACATGTTTAAAATTCCAATGCACATAGCAATTAGGAAAATATCAAACTCACCGAAGCTGAACTTGGACTGTATAATCTCTCCTGCCACCTGGCAAAAAATCCCTATTGGCAAGGAAAAAAAAAAGGGGGGGGGGGAAGAGATTAAGAAAGAACAATAAAATTTCACAGACCAAGGGCTGAGGACATGACTCAGTAGGCAATGGTTCAGATCCCAAGCACCCTGTTAGAGCTGGGGTGCTGTTTCAACAGTGAGCAACTACACCCACCCTATCCCAACCCTTGCAGGGGGCAGGATTTATGGAGACAGGATAATCCCTGAGACTTGCTGCCCAGCCAGTATAACTAGAATAACAAGTTCCAGGCTCACAGAGAGACCCTGGCTCAACGAACAAGGTAGAGACAACAGAGGAAGAAAACTAACATTGACCTCCAGCAACCACACAGACTGTCATGAGTGAGTTCACGGGTGATCATGTACACACACACACATTTTTTTTAAAAAAAATTCAAAGTGACACTAACCAAACAAACAAAAACAATGCAATAATTATAACTCCTACATACTAATCATTCTTCACATCAGTTTTGAGGTATATTTTCAGTTCATGGGAACTTTGGTGATACAATATTTGCTTTAATACATAACAAATTTAGCCTGAAAAGAACATTCTAGGTTCTGGAGAAATTTACCAAATTAATCTACATGCTTAGTTGTTCTTCACCTTGATTGAACATTCTAAACCACTTGGAGACTTTTTTGTATACTACAGTTTCATTCATCAGGTAATTCTTATTGGCTTGAGTATATCATAGCTTTTAGAGCTACACGGGTGATTCTAACATAGAATTAAAACTAATGCCTACAGTTTCAAAATGATAATAAGGGTAATTTCATAACCATGTATCAAACCACAAACACAGAATCTTTTATTATTTCTGGAATATTTAGTATCAGAATGGAGTCTATACTGAAGATGAACTGTTATTTTTTAGGAAACGATTAAACATGCAGAATATCAGGTCTTGTCTCAGACCTATACAATTAGAATCTGCATTTTCACAAGATCTCCATGAGCTGGAGAGATGGCTCCATGGTTAAGAGCACACAATGCTCTTCCAGACACCAAGATTCAATTCCCGGCATCCATATCAGATGGTTAACCTTCAGGCAGGAGCTGATGTGATGCAGAGACCATGGAACAGTGTCATTAATTAAGAAAATGCCTTACACTCTTACCTACAACCCAACCTTATGAAGGTATTTTTCTCAATTAAAGTCCCCTCCTCTCAGATGACTCTATCTTGCGTAGAAAAACAAAAAACGAAAAACTAGCCAACACACATGGTAGTATATGCCTAAAATCCCAGCACAGAGGTATGAAGATGAGAAATCTAAAGTTATCCTTAGCTAACCATCAGCTTTGGGTCAGCCTGGGCCTATATGACACCCTGTCTCAAAAGAACACTTTTAAATTCAATATATAAAATCTGATAAAAATGAAGTATCACTCTTAACCATTGTTCTACATGTTGGATTGTACCAGGAAAAATATTAGAGTAGTCCTTTAGCCTTTACCTTGCTCGCTATTTTTTATTCTGTAGTTCCCTGGAAGGCACGGCAGTAACTACTTAAACTCCCTAATCCCAAATTTTCTGACCTGGGGCAAACGAGTCAACCTTTCTATATTCAATGTCTTTACATTTAAAGACAGAAAAATCACTTCATCAAGTTACTGTGATGACTCAAACACAGTCATTCAAATAAATGCCTGGGCTTAAGGTGGGCACAGGAGTGTAAGCAGCTGTCTCCTGTTCCAATTGCTTCCCTTTCTTCAGGTGGCTTACATCTTCCTCAAGCATTTCTTCAAAATACTCCAATATTCTATATATTACTGACCCCTTCTAAGCAATTCTTGATTAAATCATTCAAATATTCCACTTACTCAAGTCAAACAATTCATTCTTGGACCTGAAGATTCAAAGGCAAATGAAACAGTTATCCTTAAAGATGCATGCTAGTAGATACAACCAAAATAAAATGTGACAATTACTACAGGAAAAAGGGAAATCTAATTGTCTTAAAAGATCAAGCTACGTGCCACAACCAAATTAGAACACATGGCGACTGTACAAGAATAATTCTCTTTCTGTTTAGTGCTTCCAAGCATGAGGGGATTCTGAACCAGAGACAGACTGATGAGAACTTTGTGAGGTTGGGAGCACATGAAAAAGAAATGCCAAGAGGCGACTGCAGAAAGGCACAAAATGCACAGCGCTGGAGGAGAGGGGACTGGAAGCCATCCCCCAGCCAAGAGAGGGAAGGCACAGAAAACAGGTGAGAGGAGCTGCAGATGACAAAATACAAAGAAGGCCTGCAACGCAGGTTTTTAAACACCAAAGGGAAGGGAAAAAAAACAGATTTTTTTTTTGATTACATGGTTACTGGGGGCTGGAGAGATAGCTCAAGTAGCTTGCAACAACTTATAACTGTGCACATGCAGGCACACACACACACACACACACACACACACACAAACTCAGTAAAGCTTCCTAAGACACAAAGATTAACAGTGATCGTATCTCCTCACAGCAAATCATCTGCCATGACTAAATTAGTTTTTTTAATATAACACCTTGCAGTGCCAATGGAAATTTTATTTAAATAATTCAGTTCATTAACAAGACTGCAATCTGCCGTTAATCCCAACATTTAAGAGGCAGAGACAGGTAGATTTCTGTGAGTTCAAGGTCAGTCTGGTCTACAGAGTGAGTTCCATGACAGCTAGGGGCTACATGGAGAAACTATGACTCATAAAACAAAACAAACCACAACCAGATGTGAAAAAGTGATTGTCATTCCATATCTCGCCTTGTCCCTAGCAATCACTCAGTGTTGACCTTAAGCAAAGATTTATCACTAGATAGATGTTAATGATACATTTTTATATAAAATGTACTTTTTCTTTGTTGGCTTAGTAATATATCAAAACTATTACAAACTAGTTTATTTATGTAAACATTACCCTGTGAAACCTCAAACTTTATAGATTATAAAACCTTGAGTTTTTTTTAAGATATATAATTTTGTCAGGCGGTGGTGGCACATGCCTTTAATCCCACTTGGGAAGCAGATGCGGGTAGATCTTTATGAGTTTGAGGCCAGCCTAGTCTATGGAGTTCTCGGACAGCCAGGACAAACCCTGTCTTGAAAAACCAAAAAACCAAACAACAAAAAACATTATGTAATTTTAATTAAAACACTATGATTAATCATCAAATCTACACACTTTCAAATGTTAGGTGGATATAATCACTTAGAAGCTCAACAATGCACACTTACATAATAAGGACTGACATATCTGTCTATAAATACATATATGTTAAGCACAGAATTTCCCAAAGTTACTTGCTACAGTATCTTTTCTCTTTTGTTAAAAAAAAAAAAAAAAAAAAAAAAAAACAACTCATGCCACATCTCAAAAACATTCTTAAGGAAGAGGTAATAAAAGACCTCTCATTTGATTTCAAATTTTCCCTCTACTTTTCCCGATGGCCCCAGGACGTAATTTAACCTGCGAACCCTCAGTTCTCTAATGCTCAGTCTTTTAAGAAGGCAGTTTTGATGGCTGCTAGTGCTGCCCTGCAATAGAGCACTTGCTTAGCCACCTCTGAGGTTCCCTAGTGCCACAAGGGAAAGAAAAAGGCCATGAATAATGTATTAACAGCAAACACAACTGTCTACTTTTCTCACCCTTTTAGAAAAGGTTGTTTTTCTGAGTATTTTGTCAGCACTTATGTAGTGTACTACTTGTATGCTTGTAAGGCACCAGAACCCTGGAACTGGAATTACAGCTGGCTGTGAACCTGGTGAGAGCTACAAACTAAACCTGGGTTATCTGCAAGAGCAGCAAGCTCTGAACCATTGTGCATTTCCCGAGGACCTGCAAAATGACTCCCTCTTTAGCCGGAAATGATCATACTACAGACTTCCCTTCTCTTTCCCTTTTATCTCTTAAGTGCACTTTTGCAGAGAAAGAAAATGACTTTGAGTTTCTTTTCACCTAAATTAAATGCCACAGGACCTCTTTTTTCCATCCAACTGACAAGATTAACAACGGTATTTCTCCTGATTGGGGGTATTTAATATTTAGGCCAGGGAGGGTGACTGAACAGCTAGTTTTTCCCTGAACTATTCTGGGTTTTGTGGTTTACTGGTTTGTGGTCTTAGGGTTTCTATTGTGCTGATAAACATCATGACCCTAACAATCTGAGGAGGAAAGGGTTTATTTCAGCATATAACCTTTTTTTTCCTCACATCGGATGGGTAATGTGCCTACTTCATAACAAGGTTTAATGGGTGGCATGCTCATGAACCATGAAAGGATCCAGCATATAACTCTTTTTTTTTAAATATTTATTTATTTATTTATTTATTTATTTATTTATTTATTTATTTATTTATTTATACAATATTCTGTCTGTGTATGTCTGCAGGCCAGAAGAGGGCACCAGACCTCATTCCAGATGGTTATGAGCCACCATGTGGTTGCCCGGAATTGAACTCAGGGCCTTTGGAAGAGCAGGCAATGCTCTTAACCACTGAGCCATCTCTCCAGCCCCAGCATATAACTCTTAAGTAACAACATTTCACTGCTGAGGGAAGACAGGGAATGAACTCATCAGGGCAAGAACCTGGAGGCAGGCGGTGATGCAGAGGCCAGAGAGAAGTACTGCTTATTCAGCTTGCTTTCTCACAGTACCTACAAACTGCACCCAGGGGTGGCACCATCCAGAGAAATGGCTGTCCTGAATCAATCAGCAATCAAGACAATGCATTGCAGGTGTGGTGGTTTGAATGCTTTGTCACCAGCTAGAGGAACTATTTGGGAAGGATTAGGAAGTGCATTGCTGTCAGAGTGGGTGTGGCCTTGCTGGAGAAGGTGCGTCACAAAGGGTGACCTTAGAGATTTCAAGACCCTGTGTCTGTCTCCCTCTTTTCCTCCTCCAATCTCTCTGCCTACAAATCAGGCTACCAGTTTCTGCTCCAGTGGCTACATGCTTCCTGCCATGATGATCACTATGATCACTGACTAAACCTCTGAAACATAAACAAGACCCTTTTAAAGCTGGCTTAGACATGGTGTTTCACCACAGAAACCCTTAGGCCAATCTAGTGGGACTTTTGAGTTCCCTCTTCCAAAATGACTTTAGCCTGTGTCAAGTTGACATAAACCTGGCCAGTACTTTTCTATTTAAGACAAAGTGTCAGTATGTAGATCAGGTTGGCCAACTCACAGAGATCTGTCTCCTGAGTGCTGGGATTAAAGACAAGTGCCACCATGCCCAGTTCAGCTTTTGTTCTTAACCAAGAATCATTAATGTTATTCACATTTAGTCTCAAAAATGTTTGTTTAGTTACTTTATCTTTAGGCTATTATCAAGTTCATTTTTACTCTGAAAGAGAATCTCCTGTAGCCAAAGTTGGCCTTGAATTTCTGATCTTCTTGCCTCTACCTCTGGAGAACTAGGCTCACAGGCATGCACCACCACGCCCAATTTTCACAAGATCTTTTATTATGCTGCCCTATTTGTAATAAAATTTCCCTTTGAAATATTGAGGGTGATAGGAGCCTTTGACCAGCACACAGAAGATACAAGGTTTGTTTCCAAGCACCAGAAATACAAATAAAACAAAAAAATATTCTGGCATATGTGACTAAAAGATGCTTGAGGTTTAATTCAAAGGTTACAACATTTTCTAATATACAGTATCTACTACTTGACTAATCTTTGTCAAACTATACTCATATTAGTTAAGAAATAGTCCAATTGGGACTTGGCAACAGGGCTCAGTGGCAAAGGCACTCGATTCTAAGCCTAACGATCTGAGTTCAGTTCCTGAAGCCACATAACAGAAGAGAATTTGAATTCTTGATATTCTGACATCACACATGTACCATGGCATTTGCCACACACACACACACACACACACACACACACACACACACAAATAAATGTATAAAAAAGTTTTTTTTTAAAAAAAGTAATAGTCAACCTTTATAGACTGAAATGTGAGCCCCACAGTTTATACATGGAAGTCTTCACTCACAATATGACTGTATTTGTAACTCATTATCGATGCAATTAAAATTCTTAAGGTAACAGACATGGCATCATGACACTGTCATATTGTATAGTGGAATGTATTACAGCAGAAAAAATTCATGTGTGACACAGGAAAATGTATAAGCCCCAAGGAAAGGCTTTTAGAGTAACAAAACATCAATACCTCAACCTTGGAATAAACTTCTATTTAACTCACCCAGTTATTAAGATAACTCTAGAAGATACACACATAACCTTTGAGAGAAAATGTATTTAAAATATTCCTCTTACCTTGATATGCATATCTCTCTAACTTGCTGAGGTGTCAAAGCAAAAATAAAAAACTTCTCTTGAAACCGTTGAATACTGCTTTGAACTGAAGAGGGAAAAAAATTTATTAGCAAATAAGCACCTGAAATAACCAGGAACTTGAGAAAGTGTTGGCTAAATCCTGGAATGTTCAAGGTTAAATTTAAAACTCTAAACTTCAGTATTGTGTGAAATTGCATTCATATTTAATTCTAAGTAGTTATCCAAATGAGCTTACTTTTGAATACTTGATCATTCAGTATTCTAAAACATTAACTATATTGTGATGTCAAAAATACAATAAAATCATTCAAGATGACATTTCATTCCAGACTATCTCATGAGTCAGAAAAACTCTCCCAGTAATGTAATACAAAAAACTGATATTTTGAGTAATTTCTTTATTGTTTCCTATTCCAGTACTTTATATTTAATTACTCACAACAAAAAGAAAATCCAAATTTTCAGAACTTTAGGTAAATGTGGTAAAAAGCAATTATTGCTTATAAAAGATAACCTTATAAATTGCTTATAAAAAGAATTACATGGCAAAGTCACACTGTTAAACTACATTATTAAAAGCTAAAATGTACTGATAACTTCACGAAGAACTGTAACATGTCAATACTGCTGAATTCATTATTCACTGATGTCCTAATGTTCATTATAAGCACGGAAGCACATGGTTGCAATCTTAGCACTCACTAGGCTGAGACAAGGGGATCCTGAGTTCAAAGCCACCTTGGGCCATATACTGAGTTCAATGCTACAGAGGGCCTGTCCAAAAATAAATAAATAACAGAGCCCACTGACATATAGGAAGGGGAACTGACCATGAAATACTGCAACATCACCCAAGAGAAAGCAAAAGTAACGTCTGTATGTTAGTATTGTAATTATCCCAGATCATGAACAAGGTGACAACTAAAATGTCTAAAGTCAAAAGGCCCTCCTTGTCAGTCATACCAAACCAAGAAAAATACTAACTTATTGAATAAAAAGCATGCACACCTTATTGCAGAATTTATGCTTCTTAGAAATATAATAATGCTAATATTTTCTCAGACTATCTCTAAAATGAGGAAAGAGAGGGGCTGTTTAAACATTACATGTGAAGCTGCTTTACATTACACGATATAATTACAGGACATAAAACAAAGTAAGAGTTTCCACTTCCTCAGTTCCTTCTTGCTCTTCTGTTCCTTTTGTATGGTTTTCCCTTTTCCTCTGTTAATTGTTAAGTTCATCCACGACCTCTTAACTATCAAATCTAATACAATAACCCATATTATGATACTGCAAGTGACCACAAAGTGATCAGAGGCTATAAAATGATTGCTTAGTACACACAAGGCCCTAAACCTAATCACTATCACAAAGTGAACCAAGTAAACACATACAGTGTTTCCATCTTATTTAATAGTATAAGCACTGGGTTTCTCTAGTCATAAATCTGAAAACATATAACACAAGTGCAGAGTGCCCAAAAAACAACAAAGTAAAAATGAGGTGTATGCACGCACACGTGCAAACACACACACACACAACATAAAAGTTTAAATCTTTCTCAATTAATATGAGTTTTTTTACTTTTTATGACTGTTTTATAAACCAAATGTGAAACACATGTGAAGGTGTATATTTCTGGTAATCTGTATTAAGTCTTTGAGAGGAAGAGAGGGAGGAAAATGAGGGATCTGTCAAGATGGTACGGTTGTTAAGAGTGCTCGATGTTCTTACAGAGGACCAAAGTTAGACTTTTAACATCCACATCAATTCCAAAAGGTCCAAGACCTCCTTCTCACTTTGAGGATACCCGCATGCACTCAAAAAAAGTAAAATTTGGGCCAGATGGTGGACACCTTTAATACTCAAAGGCAGAGGCAAACAGAACTCTGTGAGTTCAAGGCCAGCCTGATATACATGGTGACTACCAAGTTAGCCAGGGCTACATTATGAGACCCTTGTCTCAAAATAAGTAAATAAATAAAATATTTCAACGAAAAAAGCTATTGTCTGTTATATGCATTTTGCCACCTACTTGACAATAATGACTCTGGCTTGGTAAAATATTTATAGATAAAAAATTAGCATCTTAACATACCTTGTTAAATATTCTAAATAAAATATAAAGTCTGTTAAGCCATCCAGTCCATTCTCTGGAAGTATTATATTGACATATTGTATTAAGCTGGCTTGTATTTTGGCCAAGACTGCTCTCTAGAAGTTGTACTCAGGTTAGGAGTGGTTTGTAAAGAGATGTAATAGTTAGTTTCATTAGGGGCTGAAGAGATGGCTATCAGTTAAGAGCACTAGTTGGTCTTCCAAAGGACGGGGGTTAAATTCCCAGCATCTACATAGAGGTTCAACAATCTGTAACTCCAATTCCAGGGGATCCAATGGCCTCTTCTAGCCACCATGAGCAACAGGTATGCATATGGTACACGGACATAAAACTTTAAAAAATTTTAAAGTCTGATAGGTAATTTGTGGCTCAGTTTAGGCTAACCTGAAATAGTGAGTGAGCTAATGTATTACATCATCTAAGACTGTGCTTGGCTTCCATCCCCATCAATCACTGCACCTGTCATCAAAGATCACTCTTTTGTTCTTTATTAGATTGTATCTCTGAATCAAAAGTAAATGGGTGTTAGAAAGAAGACATGATGAGGTCCTCCTAAAATTCAACAATGAAAATAAAAGTAGCCCAATTCAAAACTAGGCAAAGAATTTGAAAAAACTTTTCTCCAAACAATGTACCAAATAGCTAATAATCACATGAAAAGTTCTCAATTACTACTCCTAATTAGAGAAATCCAAGTGAAAACTTTAATTCTATGCTACTTTATATCCATTGTGTTGGCTACTATCCAAATAAAACACTCCTCCCAAAAACCAGAACATTTTGGCAAGGGTGTGGAGAAAATTCTCATGCAAATCTGAGTCCACAGCAGAGCAAGAAAGTGTACTTGTTGTGGAAAACAGTACCGTAGTTGCCTAAAAATTAAAAATAATTACCATATAATATAACAATTCTACTTTTGGATAGAGATACTTATTGTCATGTTCATGAAAGTATTATTATTCATAACAGCTAAACTGTGAAAGCAACCCCATGTCCAGACAGAGAAGTGGACAAGAAAAAGGCAGTTTTACACAGCGGTTTGCAGCTTCAAGTGCTAAGTAAGGACAAGCATGGAGGACATTATATTAACTGTGAAATAAGTAGCAAAAGCCATACTGTATTATCTCACTTACATGAGGTACTTATAGTGAAAATCAGTTAAGAAGGCAGAAATGTGGCTGTCAGAAGCTGGAGGAGAAATGGAGAATGGCAGCTCTATGGGCTCAGAGATTCAGTTTCACAAGGTGAAAGGAAATAGAGATGGAATGCTGATGAGTCACACGAGAATACACTCTGAAAGCCGGGTGGTTGTGGCTAAGCCTTTAATCCCAGTACTTGGGAGGCAGAGGCAGGCGGATTTCTGTGAGTTTGAGGCCAGTCTGGTCTACAAGAGTTAGGTCCAAGACAATAGCTACAGCAAAGTCCTGTCTCGAAAAGCCAGCTGAGGAAAAAAAAAAAAAAAAAAACACTGCTTGAAATAAAAGGTGGTATTAAAGTTCAAAAGTTTATAAAGATGCAAACAAAGGCTAATATTTACATACAATGGTAACTGGAGAAAATAAGGCCATTATATTATCAAATGCTATCAAAATATCAAACTATATTTTTGATAATTTGGTTCTTCCAAACAACAGATGTCATCACTATATTAATAACCAACCACTAAAAAAGTCAACTAAAGAGGTCAAAGAATTGAGATTTCTTGTATCTGAAAAATAGTGAAATGACGTCAGAATTATGAAAGAAGGAAATAGCTACTAATAGTCCAATTCCCAGAAGTCCTAATCTTGACTTCAGTATTCTTTATCTTCCAGAGTCCTATAGTTTGACGTATTCTTCCCTGTCACTGCCCATTCTTACTGACATCACTGCTCATGTCTACCACGCCATCAAGTTCCCATGAGAACATGCGTGGAGTTAGTCCTCTTCAGCATGAGCTCCATCACCATTCCTCTGCTATAGGCTCCCAAGTCTGAATAAGCCATGTCTAAATTCCATTCGATACAGCCCTCCATCAACAACAATCTTGGCTCTTTTCCTAGCAAACCTATACTTCACAAGCCTCCTGAAGCCTAATTACTTTCTTCACTATTTGGTTTTACAATTATCCACTACAATTTCAACTTCTTTGATTAGTAAAAGCTCTCTCCTTTCTTGACATAAATTCCAATTGTGTGTGTGTGTGTGTGTGTGTGTCATTATAAGTTTCCTCAAGTCTCTATAAGAAAGCTTAATTGAATTCCCCATTAGCTAGGGCAATACAAAATCTGAGCATAATTTATAGTACTTAATCATAACTACATACTCAGTTGTTACTCTGATCTTCTCACTTTTCAGTTCTGGGGATCAAATTTAGGGCCTCACACGTGCTAGAGAAGTACTTGAACCATAAGTTCCAGTCCAAAACCCTGCTATACAGTTTTACACACCCTCTCTGACATGTCTTGCTGTGTAGTCCTTTTGCCTCAGCCTCCCAAATTATAGGAATGTATACCTTGCCCAGCTTTGTTTTTCCTTTTTCCCTATTAATAACTCCTAAACTACATAACATTCTCCCTAAAGTCATCTCATATTTCTTCTACCTTCCCTACGATTAGACTACATGGCCACCTCCAAATTAATATTCATTAATTATCTGAGTTATTAAGATATGTTTGTGTTTTTATTTATTAAAATAATTTAAGTCATTCATTTTAATGGATTTAACAATAATGAACATATCACTTTATATTCATTTGATCATACTCAGGAGCTTACTGAGCATATCCTAATATGAAAGACTTAAAAGATATAAAAAGAAGCTAACCTACTAATATGACAATCCTTGAGATTAGCAAGGATTTAAAAAACAGTATTACAATGTGAGGAACCAAGAAAAACAATACAAACACATGCTGTTAGAAAAAATAAATTAGCACAAAGCCTTTGAAGCTGTTACTAAACTTCACTGAACATCAAAAATTTAAATATTCATGCTCTTGGGCTCAACTTTTCATCTAGGCATTTTTAAATCTTTCATAAATATATATACTCAGAAATATAAGTAAAATGCTCAAAGATGAGATGTATATAGAACTGTAGGAATAGTGCCTGACATTTCATACACTAAAATATTCTAAGTGAGCAAAAACTGTAAATGTACAGCAGACTTCTGATAGCACCAAGGTAACAGACCAACTATAATCTAAAGACAGAATATACACTTCCAAAAGCACTAAGAGACTGTCCTGGTGAGAATCTCTGTAGGGCAGGACTCACAGCTATCTGAAAAAGAATAATAACCCTCCTCAACAGGAAGACAACGCAATGGCCCTACAACTGCAAGTCTTTTCAAATAGAGAATAGGAAAAAAAATAAACAATACATTTAGACATGGCCAATTTTGAGATGTCTCTGCCTGAACCAGAAATGAGATCCTAGGAGAACTTCCCTTCCTGTGTTTCTGATGTTTATCATCTGAGAAGAATGGAAGAAAAGGAAAGTATTTGTTTATGGAAACAGTAACAAACATGAATACAGAGAAACATATGAACAGATTATTTTAGCTTGAGGATAACGATAAAAACAGATTATACACATTTCTAGCATTATAATCTGTTTATGAGCAAGATACAGGCTTTCTTAACTACTTTCCAAAATAAAGTATCTCCAGCTGAACATAGTGGCACATCCCTTTAACCCCAGCACAGAGGCAGCAGTAGGTGAAATTCTATGGCCTTGAATTCTAGAACAGCCAACGCTACACTGAGAGACCCTGTTTCAAAAAAACAAAACTTGGAATGCCCAATATAAGTTTATTTTATTAAGTTTATTAAATAGAAAAAAACCACTTTCCTGGACAGATGGTGGTGGCATAAGCCTTTAATCCCAGCACTCAGGAGGCAAAAACAGGTGGATCTCTGTGAGTTCAAGGCCACCCTGGGCTACACTAGGTGATCCAGAGAAACAGAGCCAGGTGGTGGTGGCTCACATCATTAATCCCAATACTTGGGAGTCACACACCTAAAGGCACTAGGAAGGTGGAGACAAGAAGGAATATGGTTGGGAGGCGAGAGGAATATAAAACGGAAGGACACAGGAGCTCAGGGCATTCAGTCTGAGGATTCATGGAGACAGAATTTTGCCTCCTTCAGTTTGAGAATCCAGTAGAGGTAAAAAGTCTCTCTAATGAATGGTTCCTTTACTTCTCTGACCTTTCAGTATTTACCTTAATTGACTCCAGGTTTTTATTAAGACCAATTAGAACTAGTGTTACAGGCATGTGCCACTCACTCACTCACTGTATTCAGCTTTCTGTTACAGTGTTTTATGTTTGTTTCTATTGTATATGCACACAACAGAACACTTGTAGAGGTCAGATGGTAACTTGAAAGGACCAATTCTCTCCATCGTGTGGATTATAGACATCAAACTTGTGTCTTAAGGTTTGGCGATAAGTGTCTTTGATCCACTGAGGCATATTGCTTTCCCTCTAACAATAATTTTCAAAATAAAAAGTTTAAAGAAGCAAGTTTTCATATAAAAATTTCAAGGATATGTATTTTTTGTGGTGTTGGACATTATTATTACATACATCTGTATGTGTTCATACACATACACACAAACAATCAGAAAACAACTTGGGCTAGTCAGACATCTATGTGGGTTCTAGGCATCTCGGTTCAGGTTATGAGGTTCCACAGCAAACACCTTTTACTCTCTGAGCCATCTCACTGTTGTCAAAGATCTGTTTTTAATAGCATTAATAATGGCAAAAAGGCCAATGAGTTTACAGAATTTAAACTGTTAAAAATAAATAAATGAAACAAAGTAAGATACCAAGTAGCCATCTTGGCCTGTCAACAATCAAACCATCCTAACCTCATTACCAGTCCTGTCTGAAGACTTCATCCTGAGTCACCAAGATATAGTGTACCACCTACATACACACAAAATAACAAATAAATAAACACCCTTTCCCATTTTAGAAAAATATGTATAAAAGGCTTTTTTTTTAGATCAATTCTTTTAATTATATGTACATGCTTGTGTGTGGGTATAAAGGTGTGCAGGTCACCTAGAGCTGTAGTGCAACTGCTGTGAGCCACCCTGATCTGGAAACTAAACTGCGTCTTCTGCAAGAGCAGTACTTACTATCACCCACTATGTCATCTCTTCAGCCTCTAACAGATAAACATGTGTTAGGAAGGCAGCTGAAAACTACATTAAACAAAAGTTAGAGCCTGGAACACTATCAAAACATGATAGAGACATTATGGCCTTAAGTCTATTCCCAATTCACACAAAAGCAATCTGAGTCCTTAAGACATAAAAAGAATATAGGAGGTAGTTCTAGCCACAGGAATTAAGAGGGCAGAAGAATTAAACAAAAGACACACAAATTTGAAAGAAAAAAGTTAGCCAGGTGCAGGGATAGATCTGTAATCTAAGTTCTTGAGAGGCTGAGGCAGTAAAACAGCATTCCAGTCTAGCCTGGGCTACACACTAAGACTCCAAAAGGCAAAGAAACAAAACAGTTGAGGATAAGCTCTATATTGGCTTTTAACATCCCTCCCTACTCAACACACACACACACACACACACACACACACACACACACACACAGCTCTTAAAAATTAGAAAAAAACTAAAGGACATTCAAATGATGTAACATTTTTACATTAAATTTCAGTTATGACTACAACAATTCTTTACTTGTACACTTAAATGTTCAGCAACAATACCTCAATTTTTTTAGTTCTAGTTTGTTCTAATTTAGTTCTAGTTTAGTTGTCTCATTTTGCCTTTGACACGGATCTTACTACGCAACGCTGGTTGGGCCACATTCTCAGCAACCCTCTTGTCTCAGTTTCCCAAGTACTGGGACTATAGGCATAAGAAACATGCCTGATTTTTTTTTGTATTTTTTTCAACATTTATCTACATTCACATGTGCCAATGCGGGCAAGGGCATATAAGTTAGAGCAATACCTCTGGTATAAGTCGTGTGTGTGTGTCTAAGATTTTCCGTCTCCATTTCCCATTTCCCTGTAGGAACACTGAGATTACAGAAGCATGTGTCATCAAGTCTAGATCTATATGAGTTCTAGGTATTCACACTCAGGTCCTCAAGCTTACTGCTTTTATACACCAGGGCATCTATCTCCCTAGTCCCTTGATTTTGGGGATGGGAGAGATTTTGTTTTTGCTTTTGAGATAAGGACTTACTATGTAATCCTGACAGGCCTCAAACCCAAAGATCTCTTGGGTTACTGAAGACCACAATGCGTGGCTATCAGCTCTCTTTAATATTTGTAGCATTTATTTATCTGTGAGAGCGTGCAAGCTGTGATACGCGTATGCCGGATCAGAGAACGTGTTCCAGGAATAGGTTCTCTCCTCTCTCACCCTGCGGGTCTTGGTAACTGAGTTCAGACCCTCAGACTGGGCAGCAACCCCATGAGCCATTATACCAACCCTCGGTATTATTTTTAAGGTATTAATAGAAAATCATTAATAAATAGTTCTTTAAAACATTGTTTAATTATAAAGTAATTTTTCTTAATACTTACCTAAACTTGTGGGCTTGATGAGAACATCAAGGACATCATAAAAAGGCAGGTTTTTTAACTGCACGTCAGGATGGACAGGAGGAATGGGAGGAGACGGCTGCTGCATCTCAAATGTGGGCTTAGTGTCCTGAAGCAGCACAGAACCAACAGGAGATGATGGGGAATGAGGTGTAATTGAAGTAGAAGGCAACGAGTGGATTCCAGCCACAGCCAAGTCAGGTTCTACTGGTGATGAACTACCATCCAAACTGAAAACTGATGATTTGATTGTGGATAAATCAGAAAGTCCTTCAAGTGTCCGTGGGTATCGGCGTCTATATAATTCTCGAATTTTAATCTGAACCGCAGGGCTGCAGCCACTCTTCAATAAATGCAACGCCCTCATCAGGAGGTCATGTTTGCGCCCACTTTTATTCCGTCCAGCAAAGCCTAGTAACACTTGTAACTCAGAAACCCTAAAACTAGAAACCATATTCTAAAAGGGAAGAAAAAAGAGAAAAAAAGGCAAGTCATCATCAAGTATATTTTTAAAATCCCATTAAATCATACTGTAAAATAAGATTTTTCCTGATAGTAATCAATATTTACCTATAGCACACCACTTAGAATACTAAAATTCAAAAAGTTATCTTCTCTTGAAACTTCCATTTGAGTTATGTCAAATCAGATTTTGTTTTTTCTCTTTATGTTGGAAACCTACTCTTGGTTTTAATAAACATCTTATTGTCAGACTATGCTCCAATATAAATCCCTATTTGCTTCTTCACTATAAATTCTTTAGCCAATGACAATGTTCTTTTTCAAAACAGAGACCTCATAATATAAAACAGTATTTGTACAAAATTGTTCACTAATTAAACAAACAAGCTGGATTTTTATGTAAGATAAAACTTTTAGTGTTGCTTAGTAAATCTACAAAATCCAGCTGTAAATGGTATCCAAAGCCAATGCACTTTTAACCCATATTCAAATATTAAGGAACAGACAAAATATTTTTTTAAAGAAACTTTAAAATATTAAGAATAAGCCAGCCGGGCGGTGGTGGCGCACGCCTTTAATCCCAGCACTCGGGAGGCAGAGGTAGGCGGATCTCTGTGAGTTCTAAGCCAGCCTGGTGTACAAAGGGAGTTCCAGGACAGGCTCCAAAAAGCTACAGAGAAACCCTGTCTCGGAAAAACCAGAAGAAGAAAAAAAAGAATAAGCCAGACTGATGACGCACACATTTAATCCTGGCACTTGGGAGGACGAAGTGCTGTGGAACAATGGTTTTCCACAGAAGCAAACATTTGTTTCTTGTACTGACTTAATAAAAGGCTGATTGGCCAGCAGCCAGGCAAGAAGTAGAGGCAGGGCAAGAAGAACAGCAGAATTCTGGGAAGAGGAAAGATTCAGTCTGCTGTTGTCACCCAGACACAGAGGAATCAAGATGAGAATGTCTCACTGATGAAAGGTATCAAGCCACATGGCTAACACAGACAAGAATTAAAGGCTAATATGAGTTATAAGAAGCCTGATCTAACAGGTCAACCAGTTTATAATTAATGTAGACCTCTCTGAGTTTCTTTGGGGCTTATTGGCTGTGGGACCAGGCAGGACAGAAATCTCAGTCAATAAAGCAGGCGGATCTCTGTGAGTTCAAGGCCAACCTGGTCTACAAAGTTAGTTCCAGGACAGTCAGGGCTACACAGAGAAATTCTGTCTCAAAATACAAAAATAAACAAAAAAAAATAAAACGTTAAGACTAAAAATCACATACATCCTATTTAACAGTCATCCTTCAAAAATGATTAAAAATTCCAACTTGGTATTCAAATGAGAATAAGATCTCTACCAAGTAAGGAGCAGAGTAGATAGAATTCTTAAAAATCAAGAGTAATCTCATATACTTACTGATTCATACTTGAGTGTAAAACAAACATAATAAGCAATTCCTGCTTTACATATCTCAACTATTCAGTCACTAAATCTAGTAACTACTCTAAAGCTCTGCTACCTTTTAGGTCTAGCTATGGAGTAATGCTCAGTCAAATCTAAACAAGAGGTAAAGCACAGAGGTGAGATTTACCTGTGGCACACATGAATCATCTTCAAGAGAAAGGAAGAGACCTGAAGCCACCCATCCAAAACCTACTCTCTGGAGACCCATGTCTCTCTGTGGCTTGGGGTCTTTCCTATCCTACCTCATCAGTTAGGCATGAGACAGCCTGGATTCCTTTCTTGCAAGACTAAAGCTCTTAACCCCAGGGGGAAGTACCAACTAAAAAGACTACAGGGATAAGAGCTTAGAAATAAGAATGTGGAATCACAGGACTCTGAATTGTACAAGATAGCATTTACATTGAAAATTCTGCCAAGACAATGGTGTAAGGGTCTAGGAGACCCAGTGGAAAACCTGGAACCTGAAGTCTACATACAGGTGACTCAGGACCCTGGATTCTTTTTTTTTTTTTTTTAAACAATACAAATGTTTAAAAATATGGAAAGCTTCATGAATTTGCGTGTCATCCTTGCGCAGGGGCCATGCTAATCTTCTCTGTATCGTTCCAATTTTAGTATATGTGCTGCCGAAGCGAGCACAGAACCCTGGATTCTCAGACATGGTTTGGTAATTAAGAGTACTGGCTGCTCTTCAGAGGATAAGGGTTCAATTCTCAGCACACACATCAAGCAGGTCACAGGAGATCTCTCTCTCTGCAGACACCTGCACTAATATACACATAGCTATTTACATATCTGTGTAGTTAAAAATAGGACTTTTTAAAAGATGCTATCTTTTTTAACTTGGTTTTAGCAGCAACTTTCATCCAGGTACTTTGGGAAGGGAGTGTAGTCAAGTCATCAGAGGCCTCAAGGGGTAAGGTTAGCCTGCTGTGATAGTAGCTCAAGAATGGATTTTTTTGGCTATTTTTCTTCACCAATGTTTGATGTGTGTATCTTTAGTATACTCTTTTAAGCTGATTTTTGTTAGCTTTTTATTCTTATTCTACACTACTTGCTCCCAAAGTCTAGCTTTTGGTATGTATTTAGCTTCTACTTGCTCTGAAAAAAGTAATTTCTCTACAGAAAAATATTTAATTTTGTTTGTTTTTTAAAGATGCACAGAACTAGGGATAACTCAATAGCAAGGCCCTTAAAGTCCTATTCACAAGACCCTGGTTTCAATCTGCAATACCAAAAAAAAAAAAAAGAGGCAGGCAGGTGGATCTCTGTGAATTCAAGGCCACCCTGGTCTACCAGGAGAGTTCCAGGGTTATATAGAGACCCTATCTCAAAAAACAAAAGCCACAAAATACAACAAATTACAAAGTTAAAACTAGAAATATAATCCTATAATCCAATCTAATCACATTTAGTTAAAAACAAGCTATAGAAAATTTTAAAGCTGTAGTGTATATGAAGACAAGTTAGACGCACCACATTAAAAAATATCCCATTAAGTAGGAAAATATTCTAGTTACCTGTAATCATCAATACACTGTTTTCTTGAAACTTTCCAAGTGTTAATTAAGTATGAGACAGAACTAACAAAAAGTCTGAAATTTAGGTAAATTCTAGTTGATTAGAAATTGATACACATACAAAGCACGAACACATAAAGTAAAAGTAAACCTTTACAAAACAACATACTAGATTACAAAATCTATAAAACCCACAGCTCTAGACATCTCTCTAAATGTTTATCTATAATTATAGAAAATAGTTCAAGAAACAAATGGTATCAAAATCAACCCAAAAGCAGAGGAATTGAAGGATAAAGCAAAAACAATTAACTAGAAGACAAAATGAAGTCAAATCCAAGAACAAAAAAGTAAACAAATGCATATTATTATGAATAATAAAAAGGCCAAGCATGGTGACACATTCCTTTAAATCCCAGCACTCCAGATGCTGAAGCTGAAGATCTCTGTGAGTTCAAGGTCTTCTTATCTAGTTCTACCACAGCAAGAAATACATAAGAGACCCTATATCAAAAACAAAGTGATGATAGTCATGATGATGATGATAAAAGAAACTGAGCATGGTGATACATACCCGCTATCCTTGTAATATAGAGATTGAGGCAGGAGGACAGCAAATTTGAAAGTAGTGTGGGCTATGAAAGCTACTCTTCCTTAAAGAAAAAAGAACATGCAACAAGAACTTTTCAAGCATTCATGCCTAATACTCCAACATTGAGAAAGTTGAAGCAAGAGTATAATCTCAAGATCCAAGGTAACAGGGTGAGCTACACACACACACACACACCACATAGAACAGAGTCAAGCTGGAGATAGAGTAATTGCTTACATGTACACTGTCTGAAGGAGGGAAAAAGGGATAAAAGTACTTTACTAGAAAAATGTAAAAATATGTCATCTGAGTCACTAAGAGGTAGTGATATTTTGTCTCCCACCTCCATCTATAACATACACAGACCAGGCAGTTTAGTGAGTAAATCCTGCCAAACCTCCAAGGAAAAGAAGAAATCCTATTTCCTGGACTAGTCAAGAAACTGTAAAGTTAATATTAAACACATTTTAGCACACACAGTAATCGTCTCATTCTTACAGGGGAACTGATGTATAGCAGAGACTCTCTATTTTAAATAAATAAACATGGGCCAGGCATTGGTGGCGCAAGTCTTTAATCCCAGCACTTTGGAGGCAGAAGCAGGAGGATCTTCGTGAGTTTGAGGTCAGCCTGGCCTACAAAGAGAGTTCCAGGACAGCCAGAGCTGATAAACAGAGTAACCCTGTCTTGTAGAAGGAAGGAAGGGAGGGAAATGGAAAAGATGCTGAACTATGTAAAATATTGATAAAACTTCACCAAGTGGGGGTTATGTGTGACACGACCTTTTCTGTCTTTCATGAGAGACAGAAACAGGTGTCTCTCATCCCAGATAGGGATGTACAAATACCACCAAAGTAGAATTTGGTGAATCAATGAGCTTTATTGGTTACCTACACAAGTGTGGGTTAGGTGTTGCATGAGGGGAAGAAATGATTCAAAGACAGCTGTATCATCAAGGCCCCTACTAACATGGATGACAGCTCACAAAAGCTGGGAAGCCTGGAGCACACTGCACAGCCTGTAGGCAGCTCAACAGGTTAAGAGTGTCCTTTCTCGTCTAAACCTCTTCCAGGCAGATGGTCTCATCTCAGTCTGCTTAGCAGCTCAGTTTCCTTTCCTCTAAGATTTCCTCTCAGATTTTCCTTTCCTCTCAGATTTTATGTTTACTCTGGCAGGGAGAGACTTGGTGAATCTGGTCAGTTTCAGGAACATCCTGAAGCTCTTTTGGGTCCTATACCTTTCTACTTAAGGAGCTCCGATGCAGAATGGAATGTTTCAATCCCGGGAAAATAGACAACAGAGATGTAGATGGTTCAACCGAACTTTCAGGTAAAAGTCTGACAAAACAGTAGACTCACAAACAACTTTTTCGTTTTCCAAGATGAATCACAACAATCTACTTGCTATGGTTTTAATTAAGTGCCA